ATTCTGGCCGCCGGCGCCCGTGGGGGTGGGTGGGGGGCACTTGGGGTGCGCACCCCCTGCCCCCCGATGTCCCCGCTGGTGCGTGTAGCCGTCTGATCTTACCCCCCGAGTAGAGTTCGGGGTAAGACTTAAATAAGCGTAGTAGTACAGTCACCGACACTTCATTCTTCTCCGACCAACTCCGTGGAGCAATTTGGCTGCGGCGTTTATTTCTCTCCTCTTGGAAATCGGTAGGAAAATGTGTGTAGCAGACGGGGGCTGCTCGAAAACTCGCTTTGGAGCTCAAGTGCTCCGCTGACTTCACTTTGTCCCAAGAGCCTGATGTGAAGGAAAAGTACGACTAAAAATCGTCCCCTTACTGTGGACTGCAGCTTCAAATGGGCCGCTGTCTTTTGGTGGTTCTTGCGTATCAGCAGGATTTCTTTGTTACTCCATACGCCCACCCCCCCACCGCCCCTTAATAACCTGCATATTTTAATAACGTAAAAAATCTGTGTCTCTGTATTATGGGTATAGAGCAGACTAATGGCCGGAATTTTAAATCTGTCTAATTGAGTGTTATGGGTAAACTGCAGGAATACTAAACATCTGAGTCAGCTATTTTGGCACTACAGTAATTCAGCAAATTGATGTAGAAAACTTGATGTAACCTTTCATGAGTTTTTAGATATTAATGTTTTTAAGAGTTAGCAAGCACACATTACAAAATTTCTACCTGCATGACTGCATATTTGAGCGACATCTGTGAACATGATGCTGGAAGTCCTGTAAGTGAAAGAAACTCTTAAAAATCCACAATGCGAAACAATTACACTAAAACTAACAAAGCTCAATGGCCATTCAGATATGGGATCCAGTTACATAAGTATTAACTTCAATTTTGTGTCACAATCCTTTGCCTGATTTGTAGAAAACTTGATTCCTCTTGCTGGCATTTTCTCATTGCTCATCCATGTGCTGTAATTTGAGTGTAAACTTCAGGCCTGCAGCTTCAGTGAGGTTCCTGGCCAGTTCAATCTGGTTACTCTGAGATGACATCACGCATGAGAGGCAGCACCACAATGAACAGCCAGGAAAACTAGACCCTGAAAAGACAGACTTTAGCCAGAAGGGATACAACTGGGACTGAAAGTTTCTACCTCTAAAATGTTTTATCAGTACAATGGTATTTCAGTCTTTGGTAACTTTCTATCTTGTTAAAATGGGGAGAGGCTGGGTCAAGAGGCAGAATTTAACAACCTTCTTGTGTCTGTAAAGCTGCTGAAAGTACTGCTTGGCATATTTCTCTACGGTTAATGCGTTTTAATCCAGGTACTCCCTGATTAAGAAGTGATTTTCACTGACCTCAATGAAAATTTATATTTTCATATTATATTATAATTATATTATATTTTTAGTTCAGTTGAAGTAGTGAAATGCAATTTGTCACTAATAATTATGTCCTAGAAGCTTTTCTAATTTTTTTAATCGTTAGTTTTTATTATTAATTAATATGATACTCTTACAAAACTTTACTTCACCAAAACACACCTAAAAGTGATCGTGGACATTAAAATACATATGCTTTATTGAAAACTAACCTGATGGTGTCAACCTAAGTCACAATCTTGATGCAAACCAAATGCTGATTTTCCTAGTAATTTTGGGTGGATGTCTCCTACACAGCAGTGCATTAGCTGATGTCCTGTTGTAGGCAAGTTCTTACTGTGCAACAGGACCTCATTAGCTAACAGTGTATTTAGTTCACTGGCATTTTTCTCCACTTGCTATGCTGTTCTTGTTCCCTTAGAGTAAACTTTGAAAGAATGTGACTGTGATGCAGAGTTTCACATTGCACAGCATGCAACAGTGAGTTTTCAAAAGAGATGCTTGCATGAGGTACAGAAAACTTTTTTTTCTGTACACTGCTGCATTTTTCTTCTGTAGCCAGTGTGCTGGACTGTCTTTTGTAATTTAATGTGTAATTATTTGTCACTAGTTTTCCCCTACACTGGTAGCAGAAAATTCCACAGCTTTTAAAAGAAAAGTTAAAAGCCTTAGCTTAAAATTGTGCAACGTCACATTGGACATCTTGTACCCAGGACATTGTAATCTGAGTGAAGCTTGCTTCCTCTTTAATGTACCATTACAGAGAACATTTTCCTATCACCATGATGGTATATCTTATGTAAGGATGGGACGCTATTCCTCTGTTTTCCTCTTTTTATGTAAAGGAAAATAGGAAATTGGGAAGTGTCATGAAAACTATGCTGTTTTAATTTAAACAATTGCTTTTATTTGCATGAATGCTCTCACTGTCTCTCTAACTCACACATGGAAAGAGAGAATAGAACATGACAATGCAAAATATGTCATTCTATGAACTTCAGCATTTATAAAATTGATAATACAAATACAGCAATTTCCACTTGTCTTTATAACTCAAAAATGTAATCATAGTGACTCCACAAATTGGAGTGCAGCTGAACAAATGAGCAGTGCTAGAGCTACTCCTTTATAGTAACAAACACAGCTGGGCTTACATTGAAGTCTCACTGAAGTCAGTCCTTACAGATAGAATTGGACATGTTGTTCAATAAAGCCATGCACTACCATAAAAAGCATGTCTGTGTATCATAGGTCTCTGCAATTACATTTGGGTGTTTTGGAAAACTTTCATAGCTGTAGACCTCATCTCTGGTGTGTACATTTGATGTGTACATTTGATATATAATCTTCAAGTTTTGATTTGGTGTGTGTCACTAGGAAAGATTACATTACAGATCCTTCCATTGATAATCTCACAAATTGTCTAAGGAAAATAAATCAAATATGTGTATGCAGCAGCAGTAAAAAAAAAAAAAAAAAAGAAAAAAAGAAGCTCCTGTGGGTGGAGTTTGTCCTAAAGAGCTTCTTTATATGGCATTACATATTCCACTGATGATAAGTAAACCTCTGATTACAGTAGAAGCCCACTCCTTTTGTACCTTCGTTGTCTCTCCTAGACGTTTTAGCACAGACCTAGTCTTCAGTGGAAGAATGAAGCTTCATTACTGCCCCTGAAGGACATAACGTATATAGAAAGACTTAACTGGACATTTCCTGAGTTTAGAAACTCAGGCTCTGCAGAGGGATCTGGACAGGCTGGATCATGGGCCAAGGCCGTGCTGTGAGGTTCAACAAGGCCCAGAGCTGGGTCCTGCCCTCGGGTCACAACAGCCCCAGGCAGTGCCACAGGCTGGGGCAGAGTGGCTGGAAAGCTGCCCAGAGGAAAAGGCCCTGGGGGTGCTGGTGACAGCAGCTGAACAGGAGCCAGCAGTGCCCAGGTGGCCAAGGAGGCCAATGGCATCCTGGCCTGTGCCAGCAATAGTGTGGAGCAGGAGCAGGGCAGGGATTGTCCCCTATACTCAACAGTCAAGTTGTGAGGCCATACCTTGAATCGTGTGTTGTTTTGGTCCCCTTGCTACAAGAAAGACACCAAGGTGCTGGAGGGTGCTCAAAGAAAGTCTATAAAGCTGGTGAAGGGTCTGGAGCACAAGTCCTGTGAGGAGCAGCTGAGGGAGCTGAGGTTGTCTAAGCTGGAGAAAAGGAGGCTCAGGCTTGTTGCTCTCTACAGCTGCCTGAAATGAGGATGTAGCCAGATGAGGGTTTGATCTCTTCTCCCAGGCAACAAGTGACAGGACAAGAGGAAATAGCCTCAAGTTGTGCCAGGGGAGGTTCAGCTTGGACATCAGTATGAATTTCTTCACTGATAGGGTGGTAAGGCATTGGAATGGACTGGGCAGGGAGGAACACAATTCCTGGAGGTGTTCAAGGAGAACGTGCCTTGTTTTGTAAGCACTTAGTGCCATGTTTTGTATGACAAAGTGGTAGTCAGTCAGTGGTTGGAGTTGATGATCTTGGAGGTGTTCTTCAACCTGAATAATTCCATGATCTGTTTTTCATAAGTCTGAATGTGTAGCCATTCTGGTAAACGCCAAGTTTTACTAGTACAAGTGCATCTATACTCTAAATGCTTTTTCAATAATTATTAGTGTTATCTTTATTGGCAGATTTTTTTTCTTGTACTGCCATTGTCACTGAGGGAGGAGAGGACTGTAGCTTGTGCTTAGAGGTTTCTGAAATAAAATAGTTTCTTTGGTATGTAAGAGAACAGGACTAGCTATGTCTATCCATTTGGTCACAAAAAAATAAAAAGCAAAAGCCATTTTAAAAGTGTCTCTTGATATGAGCCCACTGACTGTGTTGTAAAACCATCTGAATATACCACTGAATTCCAGTAGGGGTAAAAGAGAAAAATGTCTGATTTCAGCTAACAGTAAATTTCAGTCCTGTACCTCAGCTAATTGTGGAAGAGGGGCTTTTTTACAGTCAGATTTTTCTGCAGACAGTTAAGGAAAAACATAATTTTGGCATGTCACTTCTGTTCAGTCAATATTTACGACAAGGTTAGACATCTGTTTGATACTTAATTGGGATCAGCTGGTATTACAGAGCTTTATTTCAGGGTTACAGTAAGTAAACTTGAACAATCAGCTTTTCTTTAGGTATTGAAGGTGCTTTAGCACATATGTTGTGCTTTAGCACATATGTCGTGATTGGCCCATTTGAAGGAACGTATTATCTTATTTAAGAGTAATACTCTTTATTTCATCCCTACAAACCTACAGTCTATGTCAGTCATAGTTGTCCCTGCAATGCTGCCATGGTATGTCCATCTTTATAGGTAATGGATAGGTCTTGTGCATATGTTTGTATTTCTGCTTTTTTGTTCAGGATTTGAATTTTTTAAAAGGTTGAATTAAAAAAATACTTCTGCGAACTCCAGCACAATTTTTTTTTTCTCAAACATTCCCAGGTACATTCTCAAATTTTAGAATTTATCAATATAGATCCTAAAATATTAAGAATGTAATTGGGTCTCCAGTCTAAATGTTATTACAAGTAATACTGTTCAGAAGCAGTTACATTGTAATAAAGACTATTTGTGTTTCCAAATTAACAGCTCTTTTTGCAGTGAATCTTCTTTAATAGGTTGTTATATTTTAAATACCAGTAAAAAATTAATTCTGTGTGAATTTATAATAATCTCCTAATGTCAGTCAGATTTTCATGTTCCCTGCTGCTGGGGTCCAGGCAGTATGATTCAGATGCCTGTGGCAGGGGTAATTGCTACCCTGCAGGGTGTTGCCATACACAGTGCAGAATCTGTATTACTACCCAGGGCACTTCACTCCTCACACACTTTGAGGCTGCTGCTCTTTTTTTCACAGGCAGCAGCCCTTGTGGATAGAACAGGGAAAGGCATCTTCTTTTACTCAGCTTGCCCCTGCTTTGGCTCCTGGCAGCATCAGGTTGCCTGTGCTGCCCAGGCTGTCTGGGTGAGCACAGGTAGCCTGAGTGGAAGAAGGGGCAGGGCACCATGGCTTACTGCCTATGTCTTGAAGTTATGGACACAGCACCTGGAATATGCACTTTCCTTGTGCTGTCCTACAGCATTATTACTGTGTGCCCGACAGTATTTTGGAACTAGTTTTCTTCAATATAATCTGTTCTGTGCGGTTTTTTTAAGAGACTGAATTAATTACCTAAGAGAAATAAATTAATCCCCCTTTTATCAGCTGTTCTAAGGATCTTTCTTCCTTGATCTCAGAGGCTAGATTGTTTTTTAAGATCTGATATAAAGTGAATAAAAATATATCAGACAAATAGTAACCTTCTTTTTGTATTGCATGGTTCAAGTTGTGTAACTTGAACTGCTCCTTCTGTATTTTCTCCACTCCTCTTCAAGTACCATATTTTGCAGGTATCTCACAAGTTCAAGGCAACTCTACTGTGCTAACCACAAAAACACTAGCAAAAATAACAGTGTGTCATTTTGTGATCTGATAATTCAGTCTCTTTTACTATTTTTGTGATATATTCTGCCTCTGCTGCATGTAGATGTAGCAATCTGAAAGTGTTCTTGCAGAACTTCTCGGATCCTTGGTAAGTTTTCTCCAGTTATAAGACAGGAGTATAGCAAAAGCAGTGGACCTTGTTCTGAGTACTGTTTTTGATCATAATTTCTAATGATTTGATGAGGGGAATAAAGATCAACTGCAGTGACTTAGCTTGCAATTTTCTCTTTGCTGAACAAGGTTCTTGAAGAATTTTTATTGTGCACCCAATAAAATGAGTTTATGATAAAGGCATTTCAATGGCTTTTTCATAGAACACTGGAAACAAACAGCTGAGTGTGAGGGTAGCTGAAATACAGGAGATTTTTCTTTCTGTTTTATTTTCCCATTTTGCATATTGCTTCTTAATCACATTGCTGGGAGAAATAAAAAGAAATTAGTTACACAACCAAAAAATATATCAAGTCATGTTTTTTTGAACCATTTTTTTAGGCATCCTTTTTGTTTTAGTTTTAAAGAAATTAATAAACATTTAGAATAATACAAATTTCAGCTACATATGCTCCAAGTTCTATACTTCATACAGCAGAAAAAGTCTGTTATTTTCAAAGTTTGGTGACAGTCTTGGGGACAAAAATGGAAATGTAGTAACTTCATTATGACTTTGAAAATTAATTTTTAAGCATACATAAGATCACTCTTGTGTTTCACAATCACCTGCTTTTGTATTAGCATTAGCTGCTTACAAAATGGTCAATAAAGAGTTAGACCCCTTTCACAAGTAACATTATGGATGAATGAGTGTTGAAACCTAGGCTTGACAGGGTGGGAAATGAGGCTACTGACAGAGACACAGGACTGGTGGAGACACAGGTCAGTCTCCTGCCCCTGCCCAAAACTCTCTTGTGGGGTAAGACCAGATTGCTCATGGCTTCATCCAGTCAGAATATGAAACCTCAAAAGGTGGAGACCCTGCTCCACTGCTGGACTGTCCCCATGGGCCCAGCTCTCCCTATCTCCAGCCTGAGCCTCTGACTCTCCTGCTATGCATACACTGCTGTTAAGAGCCCAGCTGCATCTCCTCCATCCCCTCCTGTTGGTGCTGGGGGCACTGGTAAGAATGGTTTGTTTCATTGCTTTCCTCTCTGGTCTTTGGACTCCAACATCTGTGTTAATTTCTCTCACCAGGCTGGTTACCTGTATCAGTCTTACATGAATTCAGAATCCTATCGGTGTAAAGTAAACACTGAATTAATGAAATCTGCATGGATTTAAGTTTGGTCGTAGGTATGCCAGCCTAATAGATAAATCAGGGGCTATCGACTTCCCTTATTCAGGACTGCAGTTATATTTATGAGCTGTTTCCTAAAGACCTACTGTGATGAAGTACTTCAAGGCAGCAGAAGGCAAGGGGTAAGGTGTATTTATCCCTGGTTTCTCCAAAGAGGCATGTCAAATGTGGGAGATACATATTTGAGCTCTACTCCTCCTTTTGCCCTTATGTGACCAAAGGAGCAGGGTAAGTAAGGTGAAGCAGGAATGGAAGGATTTAACCCTGGTTAAAATTAGCTGTGTAACTGTCTTCACAGGTAGCTCATGAAAATGTGGTAATTAAAAATATATTCAGTCTTGGAACCTCTCAGTGCAGGTACTCTAGATGGAGTGTGGTTCTATTCTTAAATACCATCTCTACCTAAGCTTCCTGCAACCTCACTAGGCTTTTGGCTTGGTGCCTTCAATCAGTTTGGAAGCAGGTTTATTTCAGAGATCTCTAGCACAAAGTAAATGGCTATGTGTAGTTGTTAGCTACAATTGCAGAGAAATAACTCTAGAAGAAAAGCCCAGTTGGGCGAACAAAGGAAATGTTATCTGTTACATTGTGCAGTATTTGTGGTATGTGTTTATTGCAGAAACCACGCTCAGTGCTTTTTTGTGTGTGATGTTGAACTAGCAAGCAAGTTAAATGATAGCCAACTTCTGCCTTCAGCTGCAATTTGGAATTAAGCAAGGAAATTCATTACCATTTCCAAGAAATCATTGATGTTTGAATTATGCAAGAGTACAAGCCTCTGTGTGAAACTGCAACCAAACTGTCTTTCATCAAACTTTTTGCAAGTGGTAGAGGAAGGTCTCTACAATGTTAAAGCTCACTTAACAAACAACTGCATCTGTCTTATTATAAACACTGTGGGAAGAGTTCTGGGGAGTGGAATTTTTCACTACACTTTAGAAACTTTGCCATAGACATTGCTGAGTTCAAGCCTAATAGGCATATAACAAGTCTCCAGGAAAAATAAAAAACTGTAGTTTACGGAAAGTAGGAAATGAGTCTTCATACATTAGATCTACTGGTAACACTGAGTAATAGGCAGAGAAGAAATGAGCTTTGAAATGAGAACTGAACATAAGTAAAAAAACTCTGTGAAAAGTGTAATGTGACTGTGGAAGAAATTAATTAAAAACCTGTAGATTTTTGAAAAAAAAAATTGTTTATGCATGAAATGAAATAATAGCAACTTGAGTTAAAGGAAAAAGCTTTGAAATCAAAACTGGAATTCTAATATTCTTGCACTAGATTGCACTAGAAATTAATTCAAAACCTAGATAATTATTTGCCACCAAATTCCAGAAAATTAACTGTTCTGATTTGATCTCTCTTGCTGGAGTAACTTAAAGAGAGAGAAAATCGATTTTGAAGCATCCAGGGCCCAAGGTATTCTAATTCTGTGATTCGTAGCATTAAATTACAAAGTGTTACCTTCAAGTTGTGGTGCAGAGGGAACAGAACTTGGTGTAATTGTCCCATTACAGCAAACTCTGAGGTCAGATTTCAAGGTAGAATTAAAAAACAATTGCTCCTGTCACCCAGGAGGATTGGTGTACAGTTCTACCCAGGTCTGTTAGGTTAGGATGACCTACCTCTGTGTGTTCTTAAGACAGTCTACTGATCATCTTTCTGCATCCTCAGCTACTAATATATTTTTCAATTACTACTCTTTGGCTAACTCTGTGTGATTTTTGCACAGATTTCAGGACACTGAGAAGTGAGACCAAAGAGTAAACTATGGCTGGGGGAGAGAGGGAGTGCAAATGCTTTCATTCTATATACTTCAAAATCATTCTTTTGTAATGTCTTCAAACTAGATTTGCAGACTCATTTGAAAGTAACTCTCATTTGGAATGTCTTTAACTGGAAATACTCTTATTAACACTTGTTTGTTTGTTTTTTAATAAAATGGTGAAGCATGCTAAAATTCAATTAAAAGAGCTGTTCTGTTTTATCAGCAATTTAGAGAAAATGTGAGAAAATAGAACTCTATGATACTAAGAAATTATTCCTGGGTGCTTGGTGTAAGTCCAGTTTGTGCAAATATGACTTCGATAGAAACACTAAATGACAGCTGTGGATGGCAATGGCTTCAACCAGTGTAGATAATGCATGATTCATCTAATAAAAGAATGTCTTCTGAGGTACTTTTAATGTTCATGTTCATGGGTCTCTTCTGGGTTGAATGTACATTGTATCAGCACAAAAAGAGCTCCTAATACCTACAGCTGTTTCTCTCACTATTCTTTCCACATGCTTTGGAACCCTGTTATTATTCAGATGTTACATTTTCCAGAATTCTGGCAGAATTTAAACTTTCCTAGGATATTTTGTCAGATAATTACTTTGTCTTTGCTGTTCTTGCACTTTATTCTGCTACTGTTTATACTTGCACCACCAATGTTGGTTTTTTTTTCACAGTGGGGTAGAAGACATTTCAGCTAATAACTGTTACTGTTACATATAGCTGAAGCATTCTGACATAATTTCTTTCCAATTAGGTGAAAATGAAATCCTTGAAACTCTACACAACATTGCAAGTAAGAACAAGATATGGCGGTCCTATATAGGCATGGGTTACTACAACTGCTCAGTGCCTCAGCCCATCGCACGCAACTTGTTGGAGAATGCAGGATGGTAATCCACCACATTTTATTGTTAAATGTATATGTATAAGTACACATTTGTCCCACAAACCTATTTTTTTTTTTTCTACTAAGGCTTTCATATATTAGGTAATGATGTGTATCCTGCTGTATTGGAACTGTATTGTTCATGCTCAAGCTAGAAATTTACTTTAGAAGATGTTTTTTTTCTGAAAAATATGCCACTGGTTTTGCAACTTCTATTTACACCTCTTATATATTATAAACTAATACAAGATCACATGTTTTCTATAAGGAAGTGTACAGACCTACCTCCTAAATGGAAGTAATTCTTTCCTAACTTTTGCCTAAATTAAAAACTTAAGCTCCCTCCTCCATGGGTGTACACAATTTGGGTGGAGGTAGTTAGAATACTGTGCAATACTATGATGGTGATTTTCTGATGAGGAACTAAGAAACTTCTAAGGAAGTAGAAAATTTTAGTCTATTCTCTTAGTATTTCTTTCTTGTTTTTTTGGGGTTTTTTTTAAACCAGAGACCTTCAAGGATTTGAATGTTTATCCATTAAGTGAGTTCTTGTCTTGTCTGATCAAATAACTCTCTAGTGAACAGCAGTGACATTGAACTATCATAATATGAAAAGGCTGAGAACATTGTACTTCATTCTGATCATCCAGTTGACATTTCAGTTTCTAAAGAACTGTAACTCAGAAATGATGCAACAGGAAAAGCTAAATTTCATGTGGAGTCTCACTTTCCAACAGACTGAATAACACCCTGCATTTTTACATTTAGTTTACAAGTTCCCTTATCACTAGTCACTAAGGTCCTTCTTTTATACTGTCATATTGTCTTTTATACAGTTTTACAACCTCCATCTTTATGACTAATTTTTATTTTAGTAAAATCTGTATTTGTTTTATATATATTTTTGAAAGCCCAAACAACTACAAAAACCTACAGCCAACCAAAGGATCGTATTACTCAGTGCAAAAAGTCATTGATACTTAGATGTTATGTATTTTCTATACTTTGAGTTGCCATAAATGGGTCTATTTATCTGTAGACCTCTAAGACTTATTTATTTTTCGATTTGTTGGCTCTCTTTGCATCACTGGTGGAAAAGTTGCAGTGTTGGAAGTCAAGGAATCTGTGAAGTACATCCATGCAAACTTTTATTTGGCCTTTTTCTCATTCACTTTTTGCAACATATGCAATCTAAATATTTCAGTACAGTACCAGGAAAGAAATTATCAGTTGACAGAAGCAAAACCAAGAACATTTGGAAAGCAAGTAGAACAAAATGAACTGCAGACTTTTCAATCCTAAAAAGTTATGTAGTGTTAATGAAAAACAACTGAGTCTGTCCAGAAATCTGATCTTGCACTGCCCAGTGAAGTCAAACTAGATGGCTAAAAGCTAAACTATTAGATAGCTAAAGTAAAGGCTAAAATGTTTGCTTTAAAGTATATGTGTCTGTATGCATATGTATGTGCTAAAGCAACTATGCAGGCTTTATGGAAGCTGTTTGGGAAATCAGACTTCTTACTTCTGCTGAGTGTGTAACGCTTTCCATGCTGACACACATCACACTGCAGCTCCAAGGGAAATACTACAAGCTCAGGCTTATTGCTTCTGATCTATTCTGTCACCCTTACATAGCTTGTGTTTGTTTTGCTTGGCATTTGTTAGAACAACTGAAAGTCTCCTAAAGTTCAACTCATTTGATTCCTTTGCCTCCAGACATTAAATGTGTAAGAATGCAAACCTGTACCAAGGATGCCTGCAGTCTTCACATCTCTAGTGTAAATTATTAAACTTGGTAGTTAGTAACACTCAGAATGTAATGAAAACATTGCATTCTGAAAATAACTACATACTGTGCAATAATTACTTCTAGAGAGTTTGTTTTTAAATTACTTTAAAAAGTCACCATGTAATATAGGTTCAGGCAGAACACAGAATGCAGACTAAAGACAGATATTTTCTTTGAAGAAATTGTGGAGAAGTAGAATCAATTAAAATATGTAGATGATTGAAAATGCCAAAAAAAGCCTTTTAAAAGGAGTGTTTAACTAAATGTGCTTATAAGAGGTGTCTTTAATTTTAGAATTATTAAGCTTCATAGTAGTTTATGGCAGTACTGGAATTCAAGATTCCTTAGTTGATTATTTGATTGCGTTGTCTTTCTGAAATTGATTTGTTTTAGTTCAGCTGTGTTGACCATTCAAAACTGTAACATCAAAATCATAAGGCTTCATTAATTTTGTTTTGTAATATAGCGTACTTTCCCAGCTATGTGGAGCAGAAGTTCTCTAATTCTCTAATTAATTTCAGTTAATCACAATGTTTTAATTCTTGTTAGTCTAATTCTAGTTCCTTCTGCAAATTAAAATACAAGAAAAGGCCCTTAGGTGAAATAAAATGGGAAAACCTGATTGTAAAACTTTAGGTACAGAGGAGTTTCTTCTAATTAATAAAAGTTGTTGCTTGTGCAAAGGCATTTGGAGTAATTATTTTTATTGGTGAGAACTGAGTGGGCTGGGCAGGAAATAAATCTTAATACTCCCAGACTGAAAGTTTATCTGGCCAAATGAGCACCAGGTTTAGCTGCTGTGGAGAAAAATAGGTCCTACTGTTTGGATTAGCAAGGTTGCATGCAGCCTGGGACATGGTCTCACTTGTGAACTATGCAGTCATATGATGGTAATTAGCTTTGTGCTAGAACTGGCCAAAAATGACAAAAAAACTACAGGTTTTGGGAAAATCATCAATATTATGTACTCTATATATAGCTATTGCTTTCTGTTACTGTACTGAATAGTGTATGTGAATAAGCAGATGTGTCATTTAATTAGACAGTAAATACATTAGCATTATATATTACACTTTGAGTTCACACATTGAATATGTCCTCCTACCTTTTGCATTTTGTTGAGGACTTCTTTCCTACTTTCTTTTTCACCTCACTATTTTCTTGCTTCTCTCATCTTGCTCAATACCAAGTTCTCCAACTTGTTTTTCAAAAATCTTTGTTTTTTACCTTCTATTGATTTTACATTATTTGAGCTTCCAAATACTGGAGTCTTTCTGGAAAGCTTATACCTTCACTTCATTTATCAAAAGTTTAAGACTTGCTACTGGCCTTACTGGCCTTTTAGGGAAACAAAATGCTGTTTTCTTCCATCACTAGAAAACAGAGGCCACAAGTGTTTGCACTTACCACTTGCTTCTGGCTGCTACTCTAAATTCAATCTGGCGTAATGTCTGTTCTGGACTACTGTGCAATCCAGTGCCCAAATTTCCAGCAGTGAGAGGAGAGTCTGATCTCTGTTTTTGTCTTTCATCCCTGGACCCATGCTGCTTTGCTTTCTGGACTGTTATAAAAGAGCATTTCCCTTAGATTCTTGTCATTTTGAAGGAGTTGCTTATATTGCCACTTTTGTGGTGTTTTGTTCACCAAATGACAACAGATAAAACTTACATCAGTCTGACTTCCCTCCACTAGCATATATGGAAACTGTCATTTCACAAGAAGTTGCGTACTTCTGAGCTTGATTCCGTGAAATGCCAAGTGCCTTTCCTCTTAAAAGGGTAGAAAAGACGTGAAAAATAAAGGTCTTCAGAAACAGTATTGAAAAATCATGGCAATATCTTGGTATGATTGAACAACACATTCTCCTTTGAATATTGTGACTAGATTTAATTCTTCCACACTCATCATCTACTTACTCTGTTCCTTCTCCATAATGCCCTCACACCTCTGTTTTAAAAGTAATTTCTCTTTTCAAAATGGAGAAACAGAATTCTTGTCCTTTAAAAAGTCAACACCAGAAGATAAAAATTACGACTTCTAAAAATAACTGTATTCAAACAAATTTCCATATTAATGAATTACACATTACTATTTATTTTTTTCTGTGATACAGTTCAGTTATATATTGCCATAACTTTTTTACACATTTATTTTCCTAGACCCAGACTCAGAACTTTATTCTTACAGGGTTACCCAGTATACTCCTTACCAGCCCGAGGTGTCCCAGGGCAGGCTGGAGAGCCTCCTAAATTACCAGACTATGGTGTGTGATATCACAGGAATGGATGTGGCCAACGCGTCTTTGCTGGATGAAGGGACAGCTGCTGCAGAAGCCATGCAATTATGTCACAGGTACTGTGTTCAAATGTATGGTTAAATCACAGGAGGAAGTAGTTTTGGAATTTGAGGGCATCTATCCCTGTGTAGGCAATGGGTTGAATATAGGTGTGGCCTTCTTATTATGAGCAGTTCACTGAACAACTAGAGTCCATTTTGCCATGCCCCCAGAGAAGTTGTTGACATAAATGTTTAACTCAGACATTTAAGGCCTTCAGAAAACTAAGGACATAGGAGAAATTCTAGAGGAAGGAAGTCTCATCCTTGTTGGAGGAAGGTTGGGCTAGAGAACACTTAAGAAAACTGGACTTACACAGGTGTGCTGCATTTGTGGCTGCTGAGGGAGCCTCCTGATACCAGTACAAGGCCATCCTGGGTTGTCTCTGAACAGCCACAGTGATGGGGAGAGGTGCCTCAGCAGTGAGCAAAGCAAATGACACTCCTGTCTCCAGGAAGGGAGCAATGAAGATGCAGAGAACTACCAGCCAGCCAGTCAGCCTCACCTCGATCCCTCAGTGACAGCTGAACAACTGCTAGCTCTGGAAACCATTTCCAGACATGCGGAGGACAAGAAGGATTAGTAGTCAGGAGCATGAATTAACACAGAGGGAGGTCATGTTTGATCAACCTGATAACTTTTTGTAGTTGAGTGACTGGCTTGGGAGGGGAGGGCAGTGGGTCTCCCTTAAATCTCCACAGAGAAACCAAAAATCATGATTGAGGTGGGAGAGAGATAGATGGAAAACTGAATGTTGACCCAGGGGGTGCTTGTCAGTGACATGAACTCTAGGTGGAGGATGGTTATTATAAGCCAGGGAAAGCAATGGGTCCAATTAATGATCTGCATGATGGGGCAGACTGTATCCTCAGCAAACTTGCTGATGATGAAAAACTTGGAGGATCAGCTGATAGACCAGTGAGTCATGGTGCCTTTCAGAGGGATGTGGACAGGCTGAAGAAAATGGGTTGACAGGAACCTTGTGACGGTCAACAAGTGGAAGAGCAAAGTCCTCCAGCTGGGGGAGAAGCAGCCCCAGGCATGTGGGGTACATGATGGGGTCTGGCAGGCTTGAAAGCAGCTTTGCTGAAAAGGCTTTTTTGGGAGGTTGGGTGACACCAGATCGAACACAATCCAGCAGTGTGTACTTGTGGTCAGTAGGCCAGCAATCTCCTGGGCTGCACTGGAAGGAGGAAGGAGTACTGCCAGAAGGCCAGGGAGGGGTCCCTCCCTCTCACCCTGATGAACTGACATCCCACAGCGCTATGCCCACCTTCCCAGTATGGCAGACACATGGACATACAGGAGAGAGTCTAGTTGCCCCACCTAGGCTACCAGCCCAGCTACTGGCACCCAGACACAAACCTGCTCCTGCTGATACCACCACAGACACAAGGCTGATTGCTTGATGTGCTGCCCCAATTGCTGGCACTCACTCCATTCCACTATCTGCAGCCATTTCAGTTGCTGCACTATGGAAATGTGGATCCTTCATAGCCTGACTCCAGTGGCACTCACACACTCATAAGCACAGAGGACATGGAGTCCCCTTACCCGTGCAGGGAATCAGAAAGGTATTTAACAATAAGAGAGGACGGACTTCACTAGTTAGGTGCAGGAGCTTCAGCAACCATTTATATGTGACTATCTCAGTTTATCCTGGTATTTTGCTACACTTGTTGCTTGCAGCTCTTTGGGCTGGTTAATTAGTTAGAGCTCCCACTTGCCTGGCAGCCTCTTTGCTCCTCTGTGGAGATGGGTCTCTGTTGGGCTGGCCTTCCATGAGAAGCGCCTGGGAGCAGCAGGGACAGGGCTCCTCCTGTTTGGGCTCCTGCCATTGCCTCTCTGTGGAGGATGCACAGGACCTTTTCTCACATCAGTCTAACAGACTATTTTGTGTCCATGAAAGTTGAAGATATGCATTATCTTTTCCCATCAGTGATTAAAGCAAGCTTTACAAAATGGTGGAGTATATAATTCTAAGTTGCTAAAAGTGGAACTGTTACTGGTATATCTGAATCTACTTTCATGGATGCCTGTTGTCAGGCAGTGTGAAAGGGATTTGCCAATCAAATGAAATATGAGAAAGGATTGAGGGTCACTGCAGAAGTGTATATCAGGAAGGTGATTACACAGCAGAGACTGTCTAATCAGAGTTTTGTATGTGTAAAAATAGTTTTCTAACTATTCACTAGTTCAATGCCTTGGTGTGACATAAAATTCTGCTTACCAGAGAAAACTAGGGCATTGTCTTGCCAGAATCATAGAATGGTTTGAGTTGGAAGGCAACTTAAAGATCACCTGGCTCTATCCCCTCTGCTGTAGGCAGGGATACATCTTCTTCATCTCACTTTACCTACTTGAATGGCTCATGTGTTTTTTGTCCAGACCAACACAGAAAAATCTGTATTAAAGACCACAGTTGTATTCCTTTAAAAGTGTATGTGGAGCCATTCCCATGCTTTTGAAATTAGCTCCCTGTTCTGTTTCATAATCTATTTTAATTTTTGTCATGTATGATTCTCATTTGGTGTCTGAAATTAACTTTCCGTATGTAAATGTGAAATACGATTCAATCTTACACTTAATCTGGTTATAATAACCAAAATTCTCAACTGTCTTTTTACAAAGGAAAACTCACTTCTAGAAAATAAGCTAGTTTATTTCCATGGAAGACAATATATTATTGATGTGTAAAATGTCTTTTTCTTTTTTTTAACAGACACAACAAAAGGAGGAAGTTCTATGTAGATGCTCGATGCCACCCTCAAACTATAGCAGTGGTCCAAACTAGAGCAAAGTAATGTTTTCCTTCATTTTCCACCATATCTTTTCCCTTACACTGAATCATTTTCCATCCATGCCTTTTTGCCATACACCTAACATTTCTGGCCTTTTTTTGTGCTTTCTTTGCAAACGAAAAGCTGAAGTATATTATCATTTGGCAATACTTCTAGTTCAAATACAGCTGCAAAGAAATTAAAGCTGTTTAAAAAGAGACCAAACACTTGATAAAAGGAAAGTATTTAATTTTCCCTTTAAATTGTTGCACAACTATATACATTTCACTGTTGAATTCAGTCTAGTCTTTTTTTCTTTTAGTAGGAGGCAAGTGTCTTAACCATTCTCGGTTTGCTTTGCTCTGTATTTCTGATGGAAATATCAAATGCAATTCTTCCTCTGTGCTATATACCATGAAATGCAACTTTCTCAATGTTTAGCGCTGCAAAGATGTTCAACTCTGTATGTTAAAGAAAAGAGACATATATAAGTCCATTAAAACATCTTATTAAGTATCACTCCAAGTTTGGAGGTGGTTTGAATATTTTGCCTTCTGAATGTTTTTTTCCAGTTATATAGGTGTTATAACTGAGCTCAAATTACCCCATGAGATGGATTTCAGTGGAAAGGATGTCAGTGGAGTGTTATTTCAGTATCCAGACACTGAAGGGAAGATCGAAGACTTCTCTGAACTTGTTGAAACAGCTCATCAGAATGGGGTAACGTAAATTTTATTGGTCACACAGATGTCAATCTGGTGCATCAAATCAAATATTCATAGAAACTTAATGTTAAATATATACCATCTCAGCTACAAGCAGCTGATAGCCAATACAACCATTGCACTTCAGCTCCTTGCAAGTGATGTGGAACTGATAGAAACTAAATTTAAAAACCTAGCTCCCATGTCAGCATCATTCCTTCCGAAGAGAGGCTGACTGCTTTATGCATTTCTCTTCTCAGACTCTTGCCTGCTGTGCTACTGACCTTCTGGCCCTCTGTATTCTGAAGCCTCCTGGAGAGTTTGGGGTGGATGTTGTCCTGGGTAACTCCCAGAGGTTTGGCGTTCCGCTGTGCTATGGGGGACCCCACGCAGCATTCTTTGCTGTCAAGGAAAATCTAGTGAGAATGATGCCGGGCAGAATGGTGGGTGTCACAAGGTAAGAGCTCCCTCTGCCATTAAGTGAAGATTGAAATCATAGAGTCTTAGAATCCTTAAGGTTGGAAGGACCTTCAGGATTGTCAAGTCCAACTATCAGCCTACCACAATGTTCACCACTAAACCATGTCCTCTAGTGCCATATCCACACATTTTTTGAACACTTCCAGGGATGCTGATGCTGTCACTTCCCTGGTCAGTCTGTTCCAATCCTTTAGAACCCTTTCTTTGAAAATCTTTTACCTGATATCCAATCTAAAGTCTCCCCTCAGAGATCCTAGTAGTACGTAAGAAGCCATACAAAAAGACACTATGACTATCTTGTGCAGCCTTTATGAACAACAGGTGACCATGGCGTTGTACAGAGCACCCTTTTTTCTTGAAAATGGTGAGACTAAAAGTTGCCTTCAGTCTTGAGGAAGCAAGTTTCAAGAATTCCATTTGTGTAGAACTGTCTATTATTCTTGTGGCATTGTGGGATGAAGAGATAATCAGAAGCAGAGTGGGTTCATTGTGCTGGCAGGAGGCTTTGCAAGCTAACTTACTCCACATATTTTGTACTGTTAGACCTTTTTCTCTGTCATCCAATTGTACAAAACATAAATGGGAAGCAGTAGAAAATTCAGTGAACCTCCAAAATAATGTAGAAGGAACTTAATCTAGTTCGAATTTTAGTTATGCTTAAACAAAGCAGAGAAATAGTGTGCAAAATCTGCTTCTAATAGTCATTGATGGTGAGGTACTGCGTATTTTGACAAGATGTCTAACTAGTAATAATTGAAATGCTAAGTAATTGTCACTAGAAAGACTGCATATCTTTGGCACAGAGGCTATCCAGAAATACTTCAGTAACCAAAATAACAAAAATAATTACAGTTATAAATAAGCTTAGGAATATTTAATTTGTATTATTTTTCAGTTAAAATAGCTGCAATACTCTGTGTCATTCTAAGGCAAATACCCAAATCTCCTGTAGTTTGTTTAGAATTTCACTGTGTGCTCTACCTGACGAGCCTTGATACAAACAGGAATCTAGAGGTGTTCTAGTTTTGTTCTGTTTGGTATTGCGACTGTCCTGACTTATGCTTGGTTGTCTCTGAGGACAGATAGTTTCAGGTCAGCATGCATAAAGCCCTGTGTTACCAATAACTGTAACTTTAAAGTAACAGAGGCAACATTTTCACTTGTGGCTTAGAGATGCCAGTGGGAAGGAAGTGTACCGGCTTGCTTTGCAAACACGAGAGCAGCATATCAGGAGGGACAAAGCTACCAGCAACATCTGCACTGCGCAGGTAACATACCTTTTGTTTTCAGTACTAGAAGGGAACTAGCTGAACAGTGAGTTAGCTTTACTTTAGAGAGATTTTAGTGGAAAAATGAAGGACATAGAAATGTTCATTTGTTTTGAGTCCTTTGATTAATGGGGTCTGCTTGAAAAGAGAGTTTTACTACCTGTGTCCTTACTGTAGTGCTGAATTCCTGCAGTGTCATGAATCTGTCTTGTAGCACAAACACCATTGAGTAATGCCGTGTTTGTTATAAACAAGACAGAACTCTTCATAAAGTAGAAGGCAATTCCAGTAGTCTGAAATTTCCCACTCAAAGCTGATGAAATAAACGTCTAAATTGTAAAACTAATTCAAATTGTCACAACTTACGTTTTTTGTCTGTGTGATTTGATACAAGAATGTTACATCACCAAAGTGATATCTTTACAGGGAAATACCATTATTAAGTAAGTAAGTATCCAAAATAGTTATTTTCAGCATACTTCCACAGACCTCCAGTCAGACAAGGTAATAACTTTTTTTGCTCCCGTCATTGCCTTCCCCCTACTCTTAATGTTGTGACAGATTTTGAGGAGAGATTATTATTATTATTGACACAAGTTTAAGTACTTAGTATTCAGGAGTTACTCTATAGTTTTTTTTTTGTACTGATCCTAAACAATGGGTTCCTGTGAGACTAGCCTGACTTTAAAGTCTCCAAATGTCTGTTGCAGTAGTTGAATTGAAGTACATGTTAATTGCTAAAACAGTTACATTTCAAATAGCAATGAATTCATACAGTTTCATAAAATTATTCTGTCTTTCCCTCCTTTTATTTTGTAGGCAATACATAAGCAGCTAAAACATCAGCTGAGGATATGTGATTGTCTCTGGGTGCTAAAGAAACATTCCTAAGTTTAGTTTTACATTTAAACATTTAGTTTAAACTAAACTTACACGAAGTAGTCTTTGCTAACAATGTCTTAAACTGTGTTTGGATCCTAGGCTCTTCTGGCTAATATGTCAGCCATGTTTGGCATATACCATGGCTCTGATGGACTAAGGCATATTGCAAGACGAGTGCACAATGCTGCTCTAATCTTGGCTGAAGGTGCGTACTTAATGGGCACAGAAACTCTTCTGAAGTCCTTACCCCTTAAATAATACAACTTAAATAAACTTACAGGGTGAGGGCAGGGGTGTCCATTCGATGTGTGTTCTCTCAACTTGAGAGAGGCCATTTTATTACAAAATTCACAGCTGGTTTTTTTTTTTCTTTTTTGTGTAGTTCTGGTAATGACATCCAAGAATTAGGTGTCTGTGTGGTAAGAATTTGCAGATGTTGCTTCTGTTTTCTCAGGAAACTAACAGAAGTCTACAGAGTGAGTCTCTAGATGACAGTGTTGAGCTGTTACTGATACTGTTTACCAGCATCTGCTGCTTTTGATAGACCATCCTAGTTTTCACACAGAAATCTGCACAAAGTATTTATAATATAGAAAAGGAAGGTAATAAGTTATATTAAAGCAACAGAAACATTTAACTTAAATTGGGTGGAGTATCATACCTCCTATGTTTGTATTTCTACAAACATAGAAATCCCAAAGCCTACCAGCTAAAGAAAAGCACAGAATCTGTAGCAGAAAATAATGATTGCGTCTAGAGTATGTGGTCTGGGAGGGTTTTTTTTTATTGATAAGACTACCACTGCTGTCAGAAGGAGCTATACAAAACTAGAATGTTTGGAACCAATGGAATACTGTAAGAAACATCCATACTTTACTTGTAAGTTTAGCCAGAGGACCTCTTGCTACTGCAAAAAACCCTAAGACTCTAAACTTTGGATTGGCAAGCTCTGTGACAGTTCAAATCTTTTAATGTCTTTCCAGTCTTATTATTTTGTCCTTATTGCATTCATATACAAAGTCTGCTGCTGTATATATGTCAGATTTGAGATATCAGAATGACTTGCTCTAGACTCAGTCTGTATTACTACTTAGGTTTGAATCTGATCATTTGCGTTTCATACACAGTGACTTTTCACTAAAAAGATGATGACTTTGCTGCTTTTTGCACAAGGGGCATATTTTGCTTTATTATGTAAAAGCATTTACTTATGAGATATGTAATATTGCTCTGCAACTGCCGCCTGAGCAAACAATACAGTGTGCATGTAATAGAATTAACTTACTGTTTTTTATAGGTCTCAGGCGAGCTGGTCATAAACTACATCATGATCTGTTCTTTGATACCTTGACGATCACGTGTGGATGCTCAGTCAAAGAGGTTTTGGACAGGGCAGCTCTTAGAAAGATTAATTTTCGGATTTATAGTGATGGCAGAGTAAGCAACTTTCTAAACCTTTGATAAATTCAGAAATTTTGTAGTATGGCATTTTCTTTGTTAAATTTCTGATCATTAAGTGTGCTAAACAGAACAAAACTATATAAGATCTTGTCATTTGCTCATATATATCTATCAATTATAAGGATAATATAAAGAATGAACTTAAGTAACACACTGAACTTTCAGAAATAATGGTTATGTTTTCATTTTATGCCAACTAAAAGGATTATCTAATTTTTTTCATGCTAAATATGTCACTAAGGGGTAGAGTGGAGAGACTCTAAAATTTAATTATGAAATACAGGGTGACATCTGGAATTCAGGTCCTATGGCAGTGTTTGAAGGCAGACTGAAATCTAAAACACATTTTGGTTGGCGCTAAGGCGTCTCACAAAGTGTAGTATGTTCTGTAAATTGGAACAGGGGGAAGGGTTGTCACAGGAAAACAGGCAATTTTCCTATTAAGTACAAAAGCAGTTGGAAATGCTAGAAACAAAGTAATGAGTCTCAAAGTTTCTGAGCCAGATGGCTTGGATGGTTTAGAATGGTAAAGGAAGAAACTAGAAAATGTTACATAAATAAAATAAATTTACATATCATAAATACCTATAAATATGTATGATTTTAAATATTTTTTATAATATATATATATATGTATTTTGGGTAGGCTGTTTTGGTTTTTTTTTTCCCTCTTGTGTTTCTAGAAAGCTTTTCTTGACCAAAACAAATGCACTGTGTCTCTAGAATAAACAGCTTTGAGTAATTATTGGTGCTTTTATCCATAGCTTGGAGTATCACTTGATGAAACTGTAAATGAGAAGGATCTAGATGACATATTATGGATTTTTGGTTGTGAATCTTCTTCTGTAAGTACATAATAAGTCATGTGAATTAAATTATCTGAATGTTTCCAGAGTTTAATGAAAACCAAAACTGGTCTTGTGGTTTCTATATGATGACCATTTATAAATGTTAAGAATTAATATTAAGAATTTCAGAGACTCTCTTAAATAAAGAGATAGTGTCAAATAAAGGATTTATATAATGCCATTTTCTAGTTGAAGCACTTAGTTCTTTTTGTCAGCTTGGACACCTTGCATTAGGGTATTACTTCTTCTGTGATGGCTGGGACATGGGGGTCAGTTATTTATTTCCATAAATAATGGAATTTTTGTTGCATGTCATGAGCATTTAGCAGCAATACCTACAAGATGAGGGCTGCTCTGAGATATTAAAACTACCCACTTTTAATACAATGCTGTTGTCATGCTAGGTATATGCAGATACATATGATATTAAAGGTGGCAGGTTTCACCTTAAAAGCTGACTGAGTCCTGAGGTAAACTGGTAGCATAAGCCAGTTCTGATGGAAGTTGGTTACAGAAAAAACAAAATTCCATGAAAATATTTGACTCTATTTCTTTTTGTTGAAGGAGCTAATTGCTGAGGGTATGGGTGAAGAAGCCAAAGGCATCCTTAGCACCCCATTTAAGAGAACTTCCAATTTCTTGACACACCAGGTTTTCAACAGGTTTGTGAATGTATGTTTGCTATTTTTAGGGAATCTGAAGTATCTCCTTTCAAAACCAGCAGTGGAGTCAGTTGAGGATGGTTTTGTACCTACATTTATATAGTGACTCATTACTCTAAAATAGGATATTTAGTAGCATTTTTAGTTATCTGTCTCATTTTAAATGAGCAGAGCAATACCCATGACCACTGAGGGGTGTGTTTTTCCATCAGTCTGCTGCATTGTACAACCTACTACTTGAGGACATGGTATCCTTGTATTCCATATTTACTGGTAGTATTACTGAGATAATAATAAGCATTTTTAATCTGCGTTGCCATTAGCAAGCTTGAAGTGCCAGTTTGGAAAGAACTACTTTGTATATATTAATAAGCTCTCCTCAGTCTTACTTCTTTGTTGTGTTCTTTTCCTTTGTAGCAGCTGGTATAACTAATCTGCTTGCCTTAACACTGTGTTTTGTGCTCTCCAGCTATCACTCTGAGACAAATATCGTGCGGTACATGAAAAGATTAGAAAACAAAGATATTTCCCTTGTTCACAGCATGATTCCCTTGGTAGGTATTTACTGAAAAGAAAAGACAGAAAACCTGTACTTACCTACGTGCTTATGTATTTCCATAAATACTGATGTGTGTTTGTATTTTTAGGGGTCCTGCACAATGAAGCTCAATAGTTCTGCTGAACTCACAGTAAGTTGCAATAATACTGTCTCACTTGGTATTCACACGAATAAACTGTCTAGCCAGTGTCATTCTAGAAAAGGCTGCTCTTGCTGTAATACTCCAGCTGAGAAGGGAATCTCAGTAGTAGCTAAAGTCACCCTCTCCCTTTTCTGCTAAGAAAAAATTCTGAAAAGCACAAGTAGGACAAGTAGGACTGCAACAACACTAGTGAAGTATGTGGTCTTGAAGACTCCATTTTGAAAAAAATTATGAAAATAATTTTTTGGGACTAGGTGTCACAGTCCTTCCTCAAGCAATGTTGCATTACCTAACTTCTGGCTGCTTTACATATCTTAAAATCAAATCCTCAGAAATATGAAAAGTCAGGTGGGACAGGCAATTCATGCTTCTTTTTCAGTTTGCGATTTCTTAGGATAATTCCCTTTTCCCCAGCTGAAGGGTTTCCAGATATCTTCATATTTCTAACTAATAGCAAATGAAGCAGAGCTTTAGCCAGGCTGTTTGATCACCAAATGACTTTTTGATTTGGAGTGAGCTTCCTTTGCTCTCTTCCTGTTGTTTTCTCACTTTCATCTTTCACCAGTTTCCTTTGTCCCCTTTCTTTCACTGCTTTCTCTCTCTCCCTTCACTATTTTATGTCTTGTATATTTCCTCTAAGTAAAAGTAATACTATTCCAGACAACTCCTCTCTGTTTACCTTGTGATCCCATAATATCATACCTTGTGAGCTCTATGTAAGGGTAGGTGAAACTAAGTAGTAGGAGAACTTAAACGAATTTTAAGCATATTCTTAATGTTAAAAAATCGTTACTGAAAATCATAGGATCATTTATGTTGGAAAACACCCTTTAGATTAAGTCCAGCTGTTAACCTGGCACTGAGTCCATCACTAAACCATGTTCCTGATCACCATATCTACATATCTTATAAACACTTCCAGGGGTGTTGTTCTGCAGTTCTTTAGGGAGGCTGTTCAAAGGGCTTCTGTGAATACATTTTTCTTTAAACCCAGTCTTATTAAAAGACCCAGTCTTTTCTTTAAACCTCTTGTCTTATCAGTTACTACCTGGGAAGAGACCAACCCCACCTGGCTATACCCTCCTGTCAGGCAGTTGTAGAGAAGAGACCAGGTCCCCCCTGGGCCTCCTTTTCTCCAGCCCAAACACCCTCAGCTCCCTCAGATGCTCCTCACAGCACTTGTGATCCTATGAGCACTCCTTAAGCCCACCTTGGTGAGCCTTCACCAACTTTGTAGCCTTTCTCTGAACATGCTCCAGAACCTCAATTTCTCTCATGGAGAGAGGGGCCCGAAACTGAACACAGGATTTGAGGTGCAGCCTCCCCAGCGCTGAGTACAGGGGACAATCCCTGCCCTGCTCCTGCTGGCCACACTATTGCTGGCACAGGCCAGGATGCCATTGGCCTCCTTGGCCACCTGGGCACTGCTGGCTCATGTTCAGCTGCTGTCACCAGCACTCACAGGTCTTTCCAGGCACTCTGCCTCCAGCCTTTAGCTCTGCCTGGGGTTGTTGTGACCCAAGGGCGCAGAAATGCCAGTAAAAATGTGATATCACACTCTTAAGGGGAAAGCAGCACCCAAGATTTGCAGATACTTATAGTCAAAAAGAAATGAACAAAATCAGAGCACACAAAATAAACTTACAGAGTTTTATTAGTAAATTATACACTTGGCATTGAAATTGGTATAAATTAGTCCCTTGTCTTCTAGCATAAACCCATGATGGTGTGTTTTGAATAAGTGAAAGATTGAAGGGGTGGGGGGAGAAATTAGAGAGGAGGAAAGAAAGAAAGGAAGAAAGAAAGATCAGTCTTGACTCCTGTGATGATCCAGCTGTGTGTCCAGGTGTGTCCAGGATCCCAGGCGCCTCTGCACTTGGGCTTCTACCTTTTTATAACTAAGCTTTCCTGATCCTGGAGGTAAGTTTCTTGCTCTCTGTGCAAATTAGTTATCATGCATAGTCCATGCACAGTTGTTCTAGGCCTTTCTGGAAATGGGTCAGAGGGCTTTGGGGGGGTCTTTGGTGGTCTTGATTCCCCTCACTGGATCAGCCTTTGGTGAACGGTCCATGCCGTCTTCTCAACTTCATTGCTGCACTTGTGCTGTACTGTGTTGTGCTTATGTCCAGAAGCCAGAGCAAGGACTATTGCCCCAGGAAAGTGCTGTTCTACCTCAATGTGGTCCCCTTCTCCTCCTGCAGCCTGTTGTTTCTTGCCCTTTTATGAAGCATGCTCGTATCAACAGTCCTTGGTTGGTTCCACTGCTATCTGTCCATCAGTGTTTGAGACATACACATTAGCTCCTGACCTTGTAGGCTTTTGCAGCATCCCATGGCTTAAACATCAACCTGGATTTGGTGATCTGTTGAGAAGGGAAAAAAAGAGCAAGAGAGAAAAGCGAAAATTCTATAAGCTACTTCTAAGCTTTGGGCATAACTTCTTTATAATATCCCAAATCTTTGCGTAATCTGATTACCAAAAAAAAAAGCTAAAAGGTTAACATTTAATCAGTTAACATTAGACCTTATTGAACCTCACATGACTGGCCTTGGCCTCATCAATCCAGCCTGTCCAGATCCCTTTGTAGAGCCTTCCAAGCCTCCAGCAGATCAACATACTTGGTGCTTGATACTTCATGGACCATAAGGAGACTTCTTTCCTTCACAGAGTTTAGCAACAGCACAGAGCTGTCTGTATTTTGTTGCAGCACTCTTTATGTTAGTTGTTGTTTTTTTTTTTTTATTTTTATAGCCTATTACATGGAGGGAATTTGCCAACATCCACCCTTTTGTTCCTCTGGATCAAGCTCAAGGGTATCAGCAGCTTTTCAAGGATTTAGAGAAGGACCTATGTGAGATTACAGGCTATGACAAAATCTCCTTCCAGCCTAATAGGTAGGAAATTTTTTTCTGTGTGTTTGCACCTTGAGACACAATTCCAGAAACTTATCTCCAAAGAGAATGTGCAAGCCAAAAATGTAAGAATTTTCCAAAATCAAATTTGTCTTGAATACAAGATTATGAAATTACAAAGTAGTTTAAAAAACTTTTAAAAACTACAGTATTTTATTTTGTCTCATCTCTTCTAAAAGTTTAATGATTTGGTCTTTTTAATTCTTTTAATATTTCCCCCCTATGAAAATAAAGATTTGGAATAGGAATAAGATGTATGAACTGCCAGGTGTTCAATTGTTGAAACTGGTTAGTAGTGTACTAGGTTTGACTGAAGAATGCTTAAGATCTGTGTGCTCACAGAAATTATTAGAGCAGCATTTAATGAGTACTGCTGCAGCCTGTTTATGTCCACTAGCAGTTTTGATACAAAATGAGCAGCAAGAACTTACTCTACTCTTAGGCTGTCAGTGAAAGACCTTTTATGTTTCATTATATACACTTTGCTATGCATTTCAATATTAGTTTGCCCCTGTAATCAAGCACAGAGTCCCCTGCTAGGTGCAGAAACGTGGATCAACTCAGTCACCATAAGGATTTAACATCATAGTATAAACACATAAAATGGCATAACCTTTGTCATCTACTTTTTTAATTTACATCTAGCTGTTTATGTAAGCATGTCCATTTGTAATTTAATATGTGGAATGTGCTCCTTTTAATTTGCTAATATTTGCCTGAAGTCATTGATAAGGGTTAGGGCTGGACAGTTTTGAAACTCGAGCAGAGAGGTGGCATTTGGTTTGTGTGCTGTGTAAGACTGTTTGTGTTCTTGCAGTGGAGCCCAAGGAGAATACACAGGCTTGGCTGCGATCAAAGCTTACTTAAATGCCAAAGGAGAGCGTCACAGAACCGTAAGTGTCACTACTCATGTGGGGAAGTGTTGGGTGGGAAGTGGAGAGTTGATTCAGCAGATGGGACTCTCCTAGAGAGAAGTTAGGTTGTGTATCATCACCTCTGATAGGCTTTCAGTATTCCATGCTTCCCACATAGATCCTTGGTTAACATCTTAAAAGTTTTTACAGTGAGAATGAGACAGGGCACTCCCTGGAAGGGTGATTGTACTGGGTTTGGCTAGGGTGGACTTAACTTTCTCCACATGAATTGTGGAGGAAGCACTGTTCGTAACACAGAGATCTCTTGGCTCATAGTGAACAGTGCTTTCACAGTGTCAAGGCTTTCTCTCTATGCCCCTGTCCTGCCCCTGTCCTTTCCCAGCAAGGAGGCTGGGTGTCAGCAAGGTGCTGGAAGAGACACAGTCAGGACAGCTGACCCTGGCTGTCCAAACAGATGTTGATAATGGCATCAACATTATCATGTTTTTGCTTAACAACAAAAGCTCAGGGAAAGTCATGCTTGTGGCATTTTAATTCCCAAGCAACCATTGCACATGCCGTGTGGCCAGACATGGGAAGTCAGGAAGGAGGGAAGGAAATTGAGATATGTTTATAATTTCATCTAACGCCTCTCACTCTTGAAAGGTGATGAATAGTTCTTTCATGTTTACAGCTGACATATCATGTGTTAATTCCAGAATTATTTATTCTATCCTTTTCCATCCTCATTTCCTAGCTGGATTCCAGTTATTTGCCCATCCTTCTCAAAAAAGCCATTTTATCTTTGGTTATCTTTAAAGCTTCTGTATTCCTTTTACTTTTTTCTCTTATTTCCCTTTCTAGTTTTTGATGCAGTTGCTTCTTTTTCCCACCTAAACGATGAGATCTTTTAGTAGCAGTAGGTTCAAAGCTAAGGATCACAATGGTGGGTTGTTAAGATGTGTTTTCTCGTGTCATTCTTTGGATCTGTCTGCCTCCAGTGGATGTATACTGTTTTGAAAGCTGCCCCTCAGTACTGTGGGTCCTTTTCTGAACTCTGCAATCAGTTTCTTTAGTGACCTGGGGGGTTTTTGTATTAACAGGATATTTGGCATTTCACTGTGTGTCTCCATAATAAACACAATTATGAGTAATTTTAAATGTTAGGAAACCAGCACAGATTTTTATAATATTCTATTAGGATGGCCTTTCCATACAGTGAAAACTGAGTATTTTTATTGCTTTAACATGTATTCATGAAATACATATGTACCTTCCCACTCAACCCACTGGAAGTTAGTTTAGGAACATTTTTCGAGATCATGTCAAAAACTTCTTGGAAATCTGAGACTGCTTAGGTCTTCTTCATTCACACACCCATAGAGCTGGCTTTCAACAGTAGGAAAAAAGTCCTTAGTGCAATAGCATACATGTCCTTTGAACCTGATTTTATCCTTAGCTTTGGGACTCATTTGCCTTCTCAAAATGGAAGCGTTGCTGTTCTGGCCTGCTGGGAACTATTGCCTCTATGTGAGGCCGGCATTCACCTAAAACTGAATGTTAGTGTTGTCTTCTTTGTTTCTTTGTTGCATCCAGATCACATTAAACCTATTAGAAGGCAGCCGCTCTTTACAGTCACAAACCCTGTTTTGAGTAGTTTTACTTAGCAGGAAGTGAAATTAGGTTAAAACTTCCTTCATTGTAGAGTTGTCTTCTGATTGTCTACATATCATCTGCCATTTCTTATTCTGTGCAAGATCCTCAAGCTTCTCTGGGTGTCTGTGGCTCCTTCTGTGGTCTGGAAGTACCCAGAGGTGAACTGCACAGGAGAGCCTGGGGGCTGCTTGCTCTTTACTCACACATTACAGGTTTCAAATGTTACAGGAAAATCATGATACTTCGGGAAAGAATAAAAAGGAATAAGAAAATAAGAATGCCCACAAAGTGTTGGCCTTTCAATTGAAGTGCTTCTTTCTCCTGGGCTGGAGACAGTAAATTTTACCAGCAGCTCAAGGTTCTCAAGGTTGGCTGTGTTTGGATTTGGTGCCCTCTTGTGGGAAAAAAGTGTGGGCATGAAGTGACGGCTCACATCCCTGCCTTTTTGTGCGATCAGTGATGTCTGCACCAGCAAGCCTTGGTGGCCATCTGGAGCCGCTTTACATTTCAGCTATGCGGACAAAATGGCTACAGACGTGTCACGGTGCTTCCTGGCGCTGGTGCTGCCGTCCCTGGTGTGTTCCTGGTGTTTTCAAACATTCACATTTGTCTCAGCAGCGCTGTGGATGGTAGAGTTCCGTGAGCCATCATGAAGTTACTCAGGAAAAAAAAGTAAAAGACTTTCTTTTTTTTAATTTTCTTTTTTAGATTTATTGTCTTTAGAAAGGGTGGAATTCCTAAAAAATATCTGGAAATATCCTGACACGTGCACCATTTTCCTGTGATTAATAAGAACCTGCATTTATTTAAGTAGAAAAGTTTCTTTTTTTTTATTTTTTCCCTCTTTTAATGTTAACTGTACAGAGCATACAAATAGCTCTGAGCTTCTCATTTATAGCCAAAATATTTAGGTCTGAATTTTCGTTTTGAATAGAATACAGAAAAAAATGCTTTGGAAGCCAGAAGAAATTATGGAAATTTGGAATTAGGCAGTTTTTCCTTTCAAGTCATTGTACATATGGAGACTGGTAACTGTAAAAAAAAAAAAAAAGAAGTGTTTTACAAAAAGGTGGGGTGAGACAAGAAGATTTTAAATATGAGTATCTGAAATAATATTCTGGAATTGCATCCCTAAATATGATTGTGCAGCAAATGAAACTTTGGTAATTTGGTAATAAACTACACCTGAATGGATTTTCTTTAAAAATTTATTAGCATGGTTCAGCAAAAGCATAAATTTGCTGGTACCATCAGGATTTCCTTTCAAAATTTTGATGATGATTTGTAGCTGAGTGTAGACCATATAACATTAAGATTTTATTAACCAGTTATACTTTAGGCTCTGTTTTTCTTTCTCTTCCAAGGTTTGCCTTATTCCTAAATCTGCTCATGGTACTAATCCAGCAAGTGCACAAATGGCAGGGATGAAGATTCAGCCAATTGAAGTGGATAAAAATGGGAGTATTGATATTTCTCATTTAAAAGCAATGGTGAGTATTTCATTATCTTTGATTTTTCAAGGAACACTTCTTCTCTGAAGGTAATAGCATTGGCAGCTGAATCACATTTTTCTACAAGAGAAAATAAAGCAATAAGAGTGAATATATGTTTCAAAAGGATAAATAAAATGTTTTTCTTTTTTTTTTTTTTCTCACCCAGACACTAACCATGTGACACTTGTGAGATTTCTTTTATTTTGGGGATCTTTGGTGCAGGATCTACTCAAAGAGTCTTTTTACACAGTAGACTCTTTTATAGCAGACCCTTTTGGTCCACAGCTAATACTGGAAATGAACAAGCCATGTTCATGAATGTGAAGCATTTGAAACTGCATTTCAGCCTTCTTTTAGCGAAGTTCAAGTCCACCTCTGCCGGGGAGGGTGTTGCTAGGCAACTACATTTTTTCTCTTTTTTAAAGTATATTGGCTGCAGGTGAATCTTGCAATGCAAGGGACTAGCAGAACACATTTCCACGTTTGAACAAACTTTTATAGAACTCTATTGCTGAAAGCAGGGGGAATGGTCATTATTTCACATTAACTTGAAGGCCAGATACTTCATTTGGTTGTCTGAAGGTCCCAGAAGTGAGTACTTTTTATATATACATAGATAGATATACAGATACATAGATATACAGATATATATATATACACACAGAGATATACATATTTGTATCTATATTTACATTTTAATACTGCCTTCTTCCCTGATTTAAAATTCTTATTTATTCAGAAATCACTCCTTTTCCATAGGCATGGCTGAAGGAAGGACTCCAGTATTCTTTGCTGTATAAGTACTTTGACTGTCTGCTGATGGGGCTTGCTTCCCACCCACTCTTTCTTCAGCTGTACTGTTTTTGTAAAATCTTGAGAAGCTTTAGGAGGCTTAGTGACTTTTTTTCCTCTCCCCTCCAGGTGGACAAGCACAAGGAGAACTTGGCAGCCATCATGATCACATACCCTTCCACCAATGGTGTGTTTGAAGAGGAGATTGGAGATGTGTGTGACCTCATTCACAAACATGGAGGCCAAGTGTACTTAGATGGAGCAAATATGAATGCTCAGGTACAAAACCTAGGCAGATTTATTGCTACTGGGAGTCCTTGGAATAAAAATAGCACAGCAGTACTCAGTTCAGACCATAACACGGCTTCCATGCAAGATGGCATAGTATTTGGGGGATGATGTGAGATTTCCAAGAACAGTAATAAAAATTAGATGGTGGAAGTAATTCACTTTTATTTGGTTTTGCCCTGAAATGTGTCATAAGTTTTATGACTTGTTCACTGAAATTGGGTTAGTCTGCTTACCCTTTATCAAAGACATTATTTACAGATGTAATTAAGAATTCCTAAAACAAAAGGATATCGTTCTTGCTTATGATAAGCAAGAACTATGATGCTTATTTGCATGAAGTTCTTGCATCATGATAAAGAAAAAACATGGAACACACACCAACTTTTTCAACCTGTTCTCCTTGCATTTAGTAATAGTCTTGAATGGCATATGAAGAATGTCTTGAAACAGAGTATTCCCTTGACAGGTTGGTCTGTGTCGTCCTGGAGATTATGGATCTGATGTCTCTCACTTAAATCTTCACAAAACCTTTTGCATTCCCCATGGAGGAGGAGGACCTGGCATGGGACCTATTGGAGTGTGGGTATCTCTGTATTAGCCTTTTCTTAACAAGTAAACAAACAAACAAATCTATCTATCTATCTTAGTGAATCTTGTTTGGGTGTTCACTTCAGTACAGAGTCGTGGATAGGAGAGGTGTTATATTGGTTGCAAGCATCTGTCCTTTTCCAGCACAGTCATGCACTAATCTCAAGCATGCTGGTGTTCACCTGTATCCCCAAACCCTGGCTTCCATGTTGGCCTTCCAGTGTGTGTGGTAAACCTCACTCAGCAATCTGTTTCCTGAGTAAGAGATGGACTTTGAGGGCTGAAAGTACTGCATGTAATCCAGAGCACAGAAGTGCTACACAAGCTGTGTGAATCTATCCTATGGAGCATTTGTATTTCCTTAAAGGAAGATAATCTTACTAGTTTAAAGAAAGTAATTTTTATTTGGATAACTCCATTAATGTCTTGTGATAGGTTGAAAACTGAATGCCCTCCTCCACTGGCACTAGTTGTGATAATAAACTTTCTTTTGAAAAAGGCATAGATCAGACTTCCTAGAGGACTGTGTTTGGAAGCAAGGTCAAGAGAAACTACTGCTGAAGCTGTCCAGATATGGTAACACAGGAACACACATCTAAGCTCTAAAATCACTGTTTTTGTTTTAGGAAGAAACATTTGGCTCCCTACTTGCCTACCCACCCTGTGATCAAAATACAGACGGATAAGGATGCATGTCCCTTGGGCACTGTCAGTGCTGCACCTTGGGGTTCCAGTGCTATATTGCCAATTTCCTGGGTGTATATCAAGGTGTGTAGACTTCTGTAAGGAATCAGCTGAGGTTCTGTTTCTCTTTCAAGTCCAATGACCGCTAGAACCACATGAACAGGTTTAAGAGCAGCTAATTGTGAGATGTGAAATGCAGTGAAATGAAGTGACTGCAGTACAGTTACAGGTTTTTTACATCCATCAATTCTACTTCTTTTATAGAAGGACAATGTTGCCACGAGAAAGAAGAGTTAGACACAGGGGTTGTCCTGATGTCCTACCTCTTGTCTGTAATAGATCTTGAGATAAGTGGACAACATTCAACTTCACAATATCCTGAATTCCAGAGGAGTTTGAAAACTGAACTTAGTTTTGGTTTTACATGTGAAACACCTTGATCATTATCTATGTGATTTGTTAATCCCTTGCAATTTAATGATAAGCCAGCAAATATTTGGCTACATGTATATTTAGCCAACTGAGATGATTGTAGATTCAAATTCTACTTGATAAAGGATTTGCGGGGGCTCCTGAGTTACATTTAACCCTTCCAGTGACAGATTTGGGGAAGAGTAAACCTAGGGGCAGTGTCATTCAGAGCACTTTGTTGCCAGTTTGATACACTTAACCATGGGAATTTCCTCTGCTGGGGAAGCCAGCTCTCCTGGAATTCGAAATGACCAAATATGAACTGGTGCAATTTCCATTTTCAGCTGTGGGTTAGAATAATTTCTGACTCCCATTACAGCTGGTTCCCATTACAGAATATTTTATCCATTAGAAATTTTTAAGGGGATTGGTTTTCTCACAGAGCAAAATGTCATTTATTTATATTATCCCACCTAAATTTCTCTAGAAAGTCTTGCTTTGAGATGGAGACAGGCAGCCTGTGCCTTTTGACACTGTGTTCTCAATTTTTCTATTCAGTTCAAAGCTTCTCAGTTTGAGGGAAGGTTTGGGTCATTCATTTGTGGACTTCAAGCTAAACCTCTTACACAGTGGACACTCTCATAAACAACATACACCAGAGGTGCCCTCAGTCAATATCCAGTGCTTTTCTGTGAGTGTTGTGTGGAAAAGTGCAACAGCAGAGTGACTGCCTCAGAACAAGCCAGGTGCACTGAGGTGCTGCTCTCTGTCATGCAGGACCACACTTAGCTCGTTTTAGACCGGGTTTAGATCTGTTTCTTCATGTTATTTTTCTTTCAGACAATGGGAGCAAAGGGTCTGAAGCATGCTTCTGAGATTGCTATACTAAATGCAAATTACATGGCAAAGAGGCTAGAGAAGCACTACAAAATCCTTTTCAGAGGAGCAAGAGGCAAGTATTGGATGATTTTTTTCTTCTAACAGGCTTTTTTTTTTGCCTCATGTAGAAGTTGGCTTGCAACATGGTTGCTTTGGGGGTTTTTTTGTGGCTACATGGCTGTGTGACTGCTGATTCCAAACTTCTCTTGATGTTGCTCACAAGGCTGTCACAATAACCTGCCACACTTCTATGAATGTATTATGTATTGCAGTGAGACTGAGATACTTGGAAATAGAAGAAAAGTAATATCTGTTTGTAATTAGAAAAAATTATACCAAAGGTAGAGTTAACCATTAGATTGTTCTCCTTGAAATTTAATGGCAGATTAATGAACGTTAGAAAAAGGAAAAACAACCAAGCTGAGACTTCCAAATTTCCATAATCAATGATGCAACTATTTAAGAACTGGAAGTAATTTTTGGACCTGTACTTCCCCTTGCAGACTTCCTCTGAAAATAAATCCCACCAAGCTTCCCTCATTTTTGCTCCTTGTTCACTTTTGTGAGATGATAGAATTCCCTTGGTATGATACTTTAGCTACATTCTGGTTCCCTACTTTGGCTCTCCAGTCTTGCAACAGGACAGAAGTAATGAAGGAGAGATGAAAAAATTATTGTGATAGTATCAGAACTATCAGAAAATTTATTTTCCTTGTTTAAGCTGAACAGTGTCAAAAAATGTTTGAGTACGTATATTATTCTTATATTACATATATTATTCTTAAAATAGATATATCTTAAATTTAATGATGTACACCTTGGCTAAAGCTGCAAGTTGTACTTTATTAAAAGTGAATGAAAATTGCAGATTTTGAAGGCTTTAACAGTGTAATGGAAGGTTCTCTAGAATCATGGATATTGGTACAGACAACTTTTGTGTTTAGCCTCTCTATAACACTAGATTTGAGCTTTGCTCTGGCATAAGATAAAACTGATTATCTTGATTAATTTAAGATAGCCTAAGACCCAAATGGTGTTGGGCCTCTGACAAATCAAATTATTTTTTCAGAGAACTTGTAAATTATAGGAGCTACTTTGACCACTCATTCCTAGTTCTGATCTTGTAAATGAGGCCTCTTCTTAATGTGATGTGGGATTCAAAGGGCCATTCTTCAAAAACTGAGTTGCATATCTCTTACCTGATAATTTCTCAGATTTGAGGTTTTGCCCAAGTGGATATTTCTGAGTTTGTCTTTTTGCCATGTTCTCCACAAAACCAGTGGGAATAGACAGCTTAGTAAGTTGCATTGTTCTCCTATTAAGTAAACCTAGTGTTCACCTTTTCACTTACAGGTTACGTAGCCCATGAGTTCATTTTGGATACAAGACCTTTCAAGAAAACAGCAAACATTGAAGCTGTAGATCTTGCTAAAAGGCTTCAGGATTATGGTAAGTCAAATGTCTATTCTGTAAAATAGCAGAGCAAGTGAAAATTTTCTAAATTTCTTCTAGAGGGAGACACTAACATTCTGGTTCTGTGCTTATGGATCTGAATCTGTCACAATTATTTCAGGCTTCCTCGTGTTCTTTAAGGGCTTGGAGAGATATTTATATTTACCTAGTTGTAGGTCTTCTGCAGCCTCTGCTGCTACTTCACAGTTCTGTAAACTGCCCCATCAAATTACTGATTACAAGTCTCAGCTGTTTGGAGCCAAGTGTGTTGGAGCCAAAACCTTAATAAGATTCCAACAAAGCAAAACAAAACAGGAAAAAATGAAGCAAAACAAAAAACCCAAACCAAACAAACATACAAAACACCAAAAACCAAACAATGTTTTGTACACATGCTCCTAAGGATCTGATTGTGGATGCTTCTTGGCTGCCATACAAGAGGACCCCTTGAACTATTTGATCCTATAAAACTGTGCTTCTAATGAATTTTCATGAAAGTTGTTAAAACCCCAACCAGTAATACCTCTTCAGTGAAATAATCCAAATCCTAATTGTGACACTATAAAACCCCACCCTTCCTATTCTAAGAGAGCCTTAAATATTGTGCACCACTTTAAACAGACTTTTCAGTAGGTATAGACGTGTTAGGTAAGTATATTAAAGCTCCTTTCTAATAAACTGTTACATTAAATCACTGTGTAGCTCTGTTGTAAATAATACAACAGTGCTAAAAATGAAAATACTTGAAAAGTCTATCTACATCTAAAGTACAGTGCCAACACTACCAGTGAGTTCAATCCTGTACAGATTTTTGTAGAGAAAAGGACCAAATTTGTGAATCTGCTGATTGCTAATGCATGTATTATCTCATACCCTATTGCCAGTGACTGATTTCTGCTATTGTCACCAGGTTTTCATGCTCCAACCATGTCCTGGCCAGTGGCAGGGACACTTATGATTGAACCTACAGAGTCTGAAGACAAAGCAGAGCTGGACAGATTTTGTGATGCAATGATCAGCATTCGGCAGGAAATTGCTGAAATAGAGGAGGGCAGGATGGACCCCCAAATTAACCCACTAAAGGTAAAATGGCACATAGAGCAAGGTACCAGCATCAGCCTAACCCTTGAGACTGCAGAATCCCACTTCCTGGTCTTTCAGTACTGTCAAAAGTAATGGGGCACAGCACTGAACACAAGACTTTCTTGAGAAAACTCCAACTTTTTCATAATTTGAATTTTGACTTTTTCAAGTGAGAAGTCAGGCCTTTGCTGTCAGAGCAGAGAAAGTTACTTTCACAAGCACTTAATTTCTATTTCAAGGCCATTTCAAAGTAATTGAGGAGAGATGCTTATTTCACTGATTTGAGAGAAAGTGGAATGACCGTAACATTAATAGTAGAATAAAGACTGAATTAATTATTTTAGCAATGCAGCACAGAACTGATATCAGCTCAAGTTCTGTTCAACTCTTTCAATGCTGTGCAGACTTTTAAGTTTAGTGAAAAGCCAAAAGCATATTCAAGTATTGGATAGCATCTTTAGGCAAACTGAAAAAAAAATCCAAATATTGACTTGCCTCCTGGTTTAAATCTGCTTTTTTTCCCCCAGATAAACAGTGTTCTCTGGACAGTAATTATTAATGATGTAATGTGAATTTGAATAAGGCTTTGCACTGATAAGTTCAACTAAATTCAGTAACTTCTTGTTCTCAACATGTCTTGTTTCTTGTAGATGTCACCACATACTCTGAACTGTGTCACTTCTTCCAAGTGGGATCGTCCCTACTCCAGAGAAGTGGCAGCATTCCCACTGGTGAGTACATAATGGGAACGTGGTGGTGTGGTAATACATAAATATGCTTTGTGCTCTCTAGTTTCTTGGTCAGTTGGAGATGAAGTAATGTGGTAAGAATGAAAACTTCAGAGCCATTTTATTGTTGCTCAGTTTTTATGTGTGTGAGCTCTACCACAGTTTCATTTAGTTTTTAAAGACAAGGAAAGAAGATCTTAAAAAAAAAAAGTCTCTACACATTGGTGCAGACTTGGATTTCTCAATCCTAACACATCAGCGCTGAATATTCATTCCCGTTGGAAACAGCCTATTCATTTCTGATATACTGCACCAAGGGCTCTCAAAACAGAGTCCCATGTGCTGACATTCAAAGCTTTGCTCAGAAGAGCTTGCACAAGGTGAGCATGAGGAAAGCAACACCAGTGTGGACTTGATGCAAGTTAAGGTCAGATTGGAGCTGGACTGTGATGCCAGACTTAATTGCTTTCATAGTCATAGAAGCTAAATGTACATGTAACCAACCTTTCTGCTCTGAAACTTAATTCCAAGTATTTTAATGATACGTGCTGTTTCAAATAGTAAGAATTCAGCTACACCACCATTCTGCTTGCCTTTAAGCATTATATTGTAATTATACTGAACAGCACAGCAGTGTCCCCTGCTTTTCCTTCATTCCTATCTGAAAGCCAGTTGTTCAAAGGATATGAAAGTTTTCTTTAATCTCATAAAGCTCCTTCTTTGCAAGCATGTGTTTGAGGACATTATATTTTTTTAAAAAATCCGGGCATTCTTTTAACTGTCACTTCTATTATACATGCTTGTTAACTTTCAAGGACTGCAAATAGATTTGAAGGATGACTTCACCTAAAAAAGTCACTTTCAGAGCACTTGTAATTCTTCAAGCTCCTAATGTCTATTAAAATTTTGAAGCTTTGTTTGGTGGAAAAATTAAGATGGTTGGATTTGTTTATCTCTCTTAGCCATTTGTGAAGCCTGACAGCAAGTTTTGGCCCACAATTGCTCGCATTGATGACATATATGGGGATCAACATCTGGTTTGTACTTGCCCACCAATGGAATCCTATGAATCTCCATTTTCTGAACAGAAGAGGGCATCTTCCTAAGACTACTTCCAGCTGCCTGCATTTTTGACTCCATCAGAATGGCCCTTTCCTGATTTTCTGGGGATATTTATATTGTGTATATTTTGAATGATCACCATGTTTGTTCATTGAACCACGGCTCAGTTAGAATGTAAATACAATCAGTACGTCAGGTGTAAACAAAATGTGATTGTTACACAGCAGTTGATGTTGGAAGTTGCCTTGATTCATCATTTTGTCTGTTCTGTGTTAAAGTTTTAACAATTAACACCCAATTTGCAAAGTGGCATAGAAGATACAGTAAAAAAAGTAGAAAATATGCCGATATGTAAGGCAATACTAATAAATATTAACTGCAGGAGTAATTGTTCATATTTTGTAAAAAAATGATGAAGTAGATTTTAAAATTTACTTCACCTATTACCACTAACTAGCATTGCTAGTATTTCATACTGATTTTTTACCTATCAGTATTAGTACTCTAATAAAATTGTGAGAATTTTAAATGCTGTCATATTTTGGATTTAAACTTTTCAGCTGGATTTGTCCAACAGAGCAGTATGAAATTATGGAGCTTAAGTTCTGACTTGTGACAATTGCCACAATTGCCAATGTGACAATTGCCAGCAATAAACTCAACACAAAGGAAAACACTGTCAGAGATTAATATTTAAATAAATCTCTGATTTTTTTAGTAAGCCAGAATGATACATTTTACCAAGCAGTAACAAACCTAATCTTGTTTTATATCACATCATATTTTTTTCTTAGTAGTTCCCTCTAATCCTCCCTTATTCTGGAGAAGGCATAAAAGACCACTGTAAACTGCTCAGTATTACTTAAATCTGGGATAAAAAATGTTCTCTTTCCAGTTTCTCAAGTCTCTCTCTGGCACTTTTTTATATAGAACACACATTTTGCTCTACTTTATCTACAGCTTGTGTAAAAACTGATTCACAGCTTAAGCTGTGGCCCTCCAAGAACACCAACAGCACCGAGACCACAGCCCTCCTGTAACACAAAATGTCACATTAAAGCACGCAGTAGCCAGAGCTCAGACCTTAAACAGGAGCCTTTTCCATCATGTTCCAAATCAAATTTACATAAAACCAATCCTCCCACTAGTTACACAGTCAGACCTCTGTGCTACAAGCACAATTAAGAGGAACCTCCCCAGTCCATGCAAAGTTGTCTGTTTGATGTACATGAGCGCCCCTGAAGAGACAAAATCGTGCAGTCACATGAAGCACAGTTTTGGTGAATTAGGAAACAGGCACTTGACAAACACCAAGACCACAGAAAAGGATCACAGTTTTGCACCTTACAACCACCCACCACTCAGCCTCTTCTTGAAGACCTACATGAACACTCAGCCTAGGAAATCTTAAGTGACACAAATGAGGCTGGTGTTCACAGCAATATTTTAAATACTATAAATTTTGTGTCTTTTACAGTTAAAAGTTTTGGGACTGCAACTTTTTCATTACCTACCTTATGACTTCAGTGGGGGGCTTTACAGAAAGAGACTGCAGATGATAGCAGACGGGAATGGCTTTTATTAAAGGAAAGTCAGGCCAGATACCAGCTTTTCTGTGAAAAGCTGTACCTACATCCTAAATCACCTTAATATGTAGTGAAAAAAATCAGATTTTTTTTACTCTAGAATTCAGTACGAAAAGGGTGTCTTTCAGTAGCTATTGATATAGTACTAAGGATGTAAAAAATTATGAAAAGCCACTGCAGACTTATAATGTGAGGAAAGGACAGTCTTTCTCTGCTGCCACTCTAATTCCCCAGTTTTAACACGCTACTTTAATGTTTGTCAAAAGCAGTTTAATAAACTTGACTGTGTCACTGAAAAAATGTATTAAAAATTGGTCTACATGTTTTTGTATAAAGCAGATAACTTCCCAAGTTGTCAGTTGACCTCCAGCTGACAAAATTTATCTTGTGAATTAATTGGTAAAATCTATCCAATGGAAAACAAAGCATGAAAGTATTTTACAGTACTCAACTAGAAGGTTGAAAGCCACAAGTCTTATGAGCTTACCGCACAGATGCAAAGGTGAAATCACATTATTCACTCCAGAAAATACTCAGCTACCTGCAGCACTGTAGGCCACAGGCTGTCAATGCCACCACAGTGCCTACAGAAGGACTTTGACTCACCCACCTGACCAGCCACCATGCAGCAGACCCACAGCTCCCAGCTGTGTCAACAACCCTGTGGCATGACAGGCAGGGCTCCCACACGCTCTGGGACATGGACAGAGCACTGACTGCTACAGCCTGTGAGAGAGTCCATGGGTATCAACATCACCACTGGATCTTGGTTTGGACTTGTTTGCCCTTTTTGAAAATCAAGTATTCTTTTCATTGAGAAATGAGTGAAGGAATATAAAGCCTCACACCTGAAAAATAAGGCCACCTAAGGAAGGCATTTAGTAATCTGAAAAATAAATTCTGTAAAAATCTTATGACTTAATTAAGTGGTTAACAGTAAAAACAAAACTAGCAAATCTTCTGAATCATAAAATATTTAATAAGGTATATCTTGGGGGCGGGGGGGAATATATTGTATATAAAATTTCAGATCACAATATGACGCGATTTGAACCTTCTCCAAGCTAGCACTGCCTTTAATGCTGTGTAGATGTATTGCCACTGATACAAGACCTACTAAAAGCATACAGTTTAACTAATACAGAAGTGGCTTTTTTTATATGAACTATTTTTTACACAACTAGAGTGTCTTGAATACCCTCTTTAAGTGCAAAAAACACAGATCACTTTACACTAATGCAGCAACAATGCATTCATATTGTTCTGATTAGTCATTAGTAGTCAACTTGCATAAGATACAAGAAAAGCACAATGAAGCTCACAAAAATAGACTAAAAATCAGCCCGTTCTTGCAAAAAAATACAGCATAATAGAAGAAAAAGACAAAAAAGGGATTATGCACACCACAGAATTTGCTATTTAATCCAAATGGCTTAAGTGCTGAATCTGTTTCTTTTTCCTGGTTTTTCTTTTGGTTTGGGTTTTGTTATTGGGTTCTTTTTTTTTGTAAATGAAACCACATGGACCAGGCACAACTAATATTCAGGAGGCAGTGTGTAGCTATATAGCTAAAACATCAATAAATTTTTTCATCCCCAACATTGTTTAATTGTTTGACACAATTTACTTTCCTCTGTCCTGAGGTAGTTACAAAAAAACAAATCATAAATTAAGCATCAGCTAGGCCAGTAAGAGCTGAGGCTTTTCTTTTTCTTTCCTTCTTTTTTTTTTCTTCTTTCCTTTTTTTTTTCTTTCTTTTTTCTTTTTTTTTTTTCTTTTTTTTTATTTTTCCTTCCCTTCCCTTCCTTCTTGTTTAAAAATTATTTGTTAACTGGCCAAAACTACCCTTGATGTTAAAAGACAGCTGAGAAATAGAGTTCTCACAACACCAAGAAAGGGCTATGAGGGGAAGAGGGCTAGCTGCTTCAAAATGTGACAATATATTGAGTCCCATCAAGCTGGCTGGTCCACTGCTGTCTTTCCCATGTTTATCCCCCTCTACTGTCTATAAAGTCACTGGGAGAAGTACAGAAGGGTCTGAGCACATCATCGTCCTTTACTGTAACCCGGAAAGAACTGGTCCAGTAGTGTCTGCAGGATCTTGTTGGGAGCCATGGTGTAGCCCTTCCCCAGGTCATAGCGGCAGGCAGGGCAGGTGAACACTTCGGCTCTGAAGGAGCGCTGTAAACAGCTCTAGGACATACAAAAACAGAGAAGTAAATTGCAACAACTTCCTTTTAGACCCACAGCTTAACCAGCCAAAAATAAGGAATCACTGTAAACCAAAGGCACAGTCTGCTGTGCTACCAGAAAATAAGAAGTCTTCGCCTAGCCCTCTGGTGCCTGATTCCACCTGTGACTAAAATCTCCTAGCAAAAGAGCTCTTCTCTGTGCTGGGATGCAAAACACTGTGCTTGAGGAATTAAATCACTACTGAGGTCTTCCCTTCATTTCCACTGAGGCCTTCCTGTAAGTCACAACCAATCTTCAGCTTCCTTATTGCTTCACAGATAGCTCCAGTTTTCCACACCTTCATATCAAGAGGAAGGTGAATACTGTTTGCATAGCAATCTCCATCTACCTCATCAGAAAACATTCAGTTTAGCCTTACAGATACATGAAGTATACAATCTTTAACATGTTAGTTACTGTCTGTGGGGTCATCCTTACTACCTTACTGCAGACTGTTGAGCATCCTAAATTTTTTAGGGCAGATCTGTGTCCAAAGAGCAACAGTAGCTTACTGTCAAACTATTCCTTACAACTTTAACTGGATGCTATATTGTATTCTCAAATATGCACTGGTATTCAAATACTGTGCTTTCTGAGTTTGTTGCCATTCAACTTCCTCTTCTTTCTTTTTTAATGGTTTTCCAATTTCCACAGTTTTAAATACTAACTTCACAATATTTCTCATGTTTTTCAAAGAGCTATAATTGTTCCATGTGTGTAGGACACACATAACAATGCCCTGATTTTTACTGGAGTGGTATCTTCTTGAACAGTAACCTTGCATTACTGAATACTCTACTAGGATGATAATAGTCTTAGTCCTTTAGGGCCTCAGGCAGAAATACTAGGTATGGTAGGCACCATTCAAATATGCACAATTCAGTGCATGATTCTGTACACACCAGTGCTACAAAATTAGCTCTCGTCCTGATTTGATTCCAAGATCTTTACATTATCTTCAACTGACCAAAATTTTGAGACACATGAGTAATGTAGTGACACCTGTGGCTCTTCTGCCAAACATGAACAATGCCAAGATTAACAAGATAACATAACTTTCTCTGAATGAGCCCGAATAATTTTCTAGGGTTTTTGCCCATCACTCTTTCACAACTCCTAACAGAGAGTTATAAAATTATAAAATCTGATTTTAACTGTATAAAATTAAATCATTGATATTGTGCCAAAATCTAACCTGTGGACCTGACCAATTCCTAATGCACCCCCATTGACCACAAAGGCATGACAGCAATGATAAACCTCACTGATTATGTCAATCAGGAACTGTATGAAACATACTTCAACTCTTTATTACAAAATTAAGGTGTTTACACAGCAAACATTGAATGGAAACTTGTTGCCTGTTTTTGCTCAGAATGTTATACAATTATTATTGTCTTTCTAAAATGCATATGGCTTTGGTGACTGGTGTCTCAGAGCCAAGACAATAGCCTAGAGCAAGGCAGTTTATTCTTACTTTACAGACGTTGTGGAGGCACTCTGTTGTCACTGGCTGGTAAACCAACTCCTGGCAGCAGACACACATAAAGGATTGTTCCAGTTTCTTCAGAAAATTCTAATGTGGAGCAAAGGAATAAAAGAGACAAACTCTATTACAGTTCTCATAAATGCCACTTACTACATAAAGATGATGTACTTCCAGAAGTTCTTAAGTCCTTCATATCTCTGAGCACAGCTTTATAGGAGTAATCAGGAAGCATGTCTTTAATGGCTTAATTTCCCTGCTCTTCTACAAATCGAAGAATTATATAATCAGAGAATGGTTTGGGTTGGAAGGGACCTTAAACAACACCTATTTCAACCCCTGTGCCATGGGCAGGAAATCTTCCACTAGACCAGATTGCTCAGTGCCCCATCCAGCCTGGCCTTGAACACTTAGAGGGATGGGACATAAGTCTCTGGGGAACCTGTCATAAAACTATTTTCTGTCTAAACAAAATGTAGTGACTAAAACCATGTTTCTTCATGTCTGACTTCTGATATTAGCACAGCATAAAAATACATTTATTATATCAGATAAAGCATGCTCTCCTGAAAAACAAAAATAAATAAAAAACTACTTTTAACTTCAGTATGGGTTTTGAGCAAGAAAAGGTCTCTATTGTGGAGCCATTAACCCACCCCTCAAGAGTAAATTGCACAACCAAGACTTATTTTCTTGAAATACAAGTCTTACAAATAAAAGTAATGCAAGACAGTCTATATTTAGCAGAAGTTGAACAAACAAATGAAGTTTTAAGAGGGTCTCAAGATTTCTCCAAATAATATAAAGAAAATGCAAACAATAAATATTACACATGCAACAAACATACTGGTCCTTCCTTAAGAGAAGCAAGTACTTCATCCCACAGCTTCTGGTTCATAGAGTCTTCTCTAATCAGCCATTGCTGCTCTTGGGTGAGCTGGAAAGCTTCTCCTTTCCCTCCATCTCCCATCCTCATGGCTTTGGGTGTATTTGTAGGTTCCTCTGTACCTGCTTAAGATGGTGACCATCAGACACAGTAACAACAGTGTTAGTAACAGAAGGGAAAGACAAAATTATTTCTAGAAGGAAACATAGATTAATATGGATTACATGCATGAAATGCATCAAGCTAATTCCTACTCAAATTCATACTGTCCACCTTTGCTTTGGATTGCAGCACACAGTAGCACAGAAGAACATTCATTTTATTGAAGGGCTTAAAAATGAAAAATGCAGTAGAAGCAGTAAAAAGGACTTAGACCCCTGCATTACTACTTAATGAAAGAGCATTTGTTTATCAATTTTCATTAGTAATCCAAACAGATTCACACTTCCACAAAGATTTCATGGCTTAGAAATTGTAATGCAACAGCCTTTGCTAACAAATGCTAAAAAAGTGAAAAAGAAATACCATCATCAATCGGCCTTTTCTGGTTTCCATTACTTTGGCTGGTTGGCTCCTGTTTCACAGTGTGCTTTTTAACCTTATCTTTCTTCTCCTTACTAGCCATGGCTTCCAAATAACCTTCTGGATACTAAAATTAAAAAATACAGATTTAAAACAAAAATCACTGGCATTCAGGAATAACCAAATACCAAAAGGAGTAAGTTCTAAAAGACTTTAGATCTCTATGATTACATAGTAAAATAATTACAAAATGATTTTAAAATCCCATACGATAAACATTTAAATTAGTACCTATCATTAAGGAAGCACAGTCAAGTTGAAGAACCTAATCCATAGTCAGCTGTGTTAAACAGTGTATCCAAACCTGTGTGTTTACAAACTATACACATCAGGGGGATGATGGCACGCTTTAAAATATACCATTGCATTGCCAAGAATAAATATTACTTCCTCCCATCTTTTCATCTTTCATGGATTCTGCAATGCCAAACTTTCCATGGATCTGCCTAGATCTGTGCCTAAAATACACTATGTATACAAACTACTCAGTCACATGAGGAGAAAAATACATAAAAATGCACAGTTTTTTTGGTTTCTCAGACAGAATCCAGTCATCTGTAGAAAAATTTGTTCCAGCCTAAGAATCACAAAATTGGACACAAATTCTGATTTTCCAATCCATACAGACAAACCAGTTTACTGCTAGGGCAGAAAGCTTCATTCACAGTTCCTTCTCCGAATCCTCAGGATTCTTTCAATTTAGTTTGTAGTGGTTTTTAGTATCAAAAGCTGCCACAGTGAAGTACAAGGAAAAAAAGAGAGCTTTAATTTAACTGATTTCTTCCTCTGGAATCTGTTTACTGGATCCAAGAATAAAAACAACTGCCCTGATAAAAACAGCTGAGTCTTGATGCCAACCTGTACACTTAGACCCAGCTTCTTGGACCGCTCCATTCCTTCTGAAGTCCAAGGTGCAGGCTCAACGTCATCTCTCCTCAGAAGATAGCGCCAAACTAAAAATCCACATTTTCCAATTTCTGGCCAGTATTTGACCACCTAAAGAACAATACAAAATTACTGCCATTATTTTATCACAAGTCAAACACATGCACATCGTCATACTTTAATTGTTCAAGAAGAAATGGCAAGACTGATTTATACATTATTATTATTATTATTATATGCAGAAGTTCTTCCCTCAGCTGTGAAACTTTTGTTCTTCATATAAATACAATGGTCTTAAAAGGCACACTCCTTTGTTTCAGAAACTAAGAAAAACTTGGTTTTGTCTTTAAACAAACAAAAGACTAGGATACAGCTGGAAGAACTGAAGAAATAATGAAATAATATGATTTCAGGAATGAATTTAACTCAATAAGCACATGCAAAGCAACTTACGTATTCAATCTTACATATCCTATTACAGATTATGTTCTATTATCACTGCTCTGAATAATTTCATTTTGGTTCACTTTGCAGAATAAACTAAAGCTAAAAAGCCATAGAAAAGAAAAAAACTATTTCTTTCAAGTAATAGTGAACAATTTGCAGACTAACATATATGAGGCTTTCTAAAACAGATTAAGAGAAATTTTATGTTGTAGAGATCAGAATACCTTGTAAATGCCATCATATCTGTTGCCTTCCTCTGGGGCGTATTTGCTGATCCGTCGTCCTTTTGAACTGCGCACTACTCTAACTGGTTTACCAGCTCTCCAATTCTTTGACTCTGCTCCATTTTTGTCATCCAGTGGGGCATCACAGTTAAGGGCCAGTGCCCTAGAAAGACATTTAAATACTTCATAAGCTAGACTGCTTCACCTAACAGAGTTTTGAGGGTTAACATAATGAAGTCTCATATGTTTCCCTTGCCTAATTTTGGTTTATCAAGCAGCATAGACCATTCAGTATCTTTCTTTAGCAGAATTGCTGGAAAAAAAAGAGATCCACACTAAAATGCATGGTAAGAAAAAAAGATGGCAACACTTAGTATGTTGTCTAGGTTCCAGATGAAAACTCATGTGAAACTGCTAGATAAAACAAACCGATCCTTTTAGACTTAATATTCTTAATTTTAAAAAATAATCCCTTCCTAAACAGCATTAAGGAAATTAAAATTATAACAAAAGGCAAACTTCCCATACTGCTATCCTCTCATCAATAGACTTTAAGGCTTTCCAAGTGTGTACACAGAAGTAATGAATACGAAAAACATTTAGAGAAAAAAGTACATAATAACCATTCAAAAAAGCTCTAAGTACCATACCTTTCTCACATGATACATAAAATACCTCAGAGAAGAACTCAGAATCATAGGAGCTAATTAAAGGACAAACAATTCCTTTACCTATAAAGACCCTCTTCTAGAAACCTGGAGCAAGTCAGTATGACCAAGCTGCCATAAGAAACAGTATTTTTACTACCACAGCCTGACTTGAAGGGATTGAAAACTCTTCAGAATCAGCCACAACACAAATGATGGATCTCAAAACAGAAGAAATAATATGGGTTATAAAAAGACATGATAGAAGTATAGAATCCAAACTGTAGAGAACAGTAAGAAACAGGCACACTATGCCAATGTTAAAAATATTTCCCATATGAAAACAAAACTTGCAAAACTATCTGGACAAGCAAAACCAATACAGATTCAACTACATAGAGTCATCATAATCTTCTGAACCAAAGTGCTGGAGAACTTGTATAAAGCTGAGTAAATGAGAGCAGCACATTGTTACTCCATGTGCACTAATGCCTTCACAGCTAAGTAAGTTTTGCCTGTAGCTTTGTCATTTGCTAAGAGGAGAGAAATCCTGACACGAAAGGGTACAGCTTTTAATTCTGTGTCCCAAAACAACTTTGTTCTATTCCCTAAATATGCTTGTAAAGCTCTTGCTTAAACCTGCTTCCATCTTTCTTTCCTCCTTGTTTTTGTTCATTTTGACATCACATGCCTCCTCCCCCTCCCTTTCTCAGCAGCCAAATCAGGCTTTTCCTCTTTCTCCTCTAGACATCTTGAAAGAATCCCTCTCCAGCCTGTCTGAGAGCAGCAGAACATATCTAAATGCAGACCTGGCAAACAAAAGTTCTCAATGACTCTCAGCATCCCACAGGTGTTCAGAGGTCACTTGTATAACAGATTATGCTCTTAGTAACAGAAAAGGATGGAGTACTCTTTGTTCAGGCCATCTTTTGGCAGATGGGAAAACACTTCAGGCAGATGTCTAATTCTTCCCCCGGACACATGTTCTCTTTCAAGTACCTGTTTCGATAAAGCAGCACCCTAATTCCTTGCTTTTCATAGAAAATTATGATGGAAGAAAGGGCTAGCAAAACAGAAAATATTTCTTTTATCATGGGAAAATGAACATGCTTTCTTCCTCCTTAAATTTATAACTGATTTACCCATGAGAGAAGAAACTGAAAAAAAGAAACATCCAGAATTAGAAAACTTCTGCACAAGTGTTTGACAAACTTCTCATTTAATTAAAACAGAGTCCACTGAGAGTGACTGTAGAACAATTTCAACCAGAAGCATGACTCTAAGCTGCAGCAACCATAGAGCAATGTATTTCACTGAGGTGTGTGTTCCTTTAAAGCTACAAAACATAATGCTTGATAAAATGCCTCTTAGAAGCAGCAGGCAATGCTGTTTATGAACACAGCATGTACAGAAGAGAAAAAATACAGCAAAATGTTAGTTTTAAATTAAAGTGCTACAAGCCAACTCTTTGTTTTGGAATACCTTTGAATTTTATCTTCAAAACTTACCTATTCATGTGTGTTAATGTCTGATCAAATGAATGTTCTCCAATTCTTTTATTGCCAGAAAGATCTCTACCTCCACTCCCAGTGTAAGTGAACTCATCTCCTCGATCCTGTGCAAGAAGATTATCCTTTGGTTTAACGCTCTAAAGTAAAGTAACTCAATTAAAAAAAAAAAAGAAAAAGAAAAAGAAAAAAATGCAACTTCATTTGTTCTATTTACTTAGAGAAAAACTGTAATCCAGGGCATGAAAGACATGTTTTCAATTTCATTGTGCTGTCCTATGGGAGCTGCACCAGCACAGAACTACTGGTATAGATGTAACCTCTTGACCAAAAAATTCTGACTAAAAAAATGCGTGCCTTAAAAAATGCTAGTTTTGCATTATTTATAAAGCTATTTTAAGAAAAAAAATCTGAAGAAGGGAACATATTCTAGCAAGTAGCTACTTGTTCTTGTTCATTGAGATTACAAGAGCGTCATGTTTGTAAAATATAGAATAATTACCTTGGATGGATCACGTCAGTCACTTCTGCTTGTGCAAGGAGCTCAGTGCTGCCTTATGTACAAAGCTCTAATGGAGGTGCTTTAATGAAATAGTAATCCCAGCTCTTCTGAATCAGTAAGAGTTTAAAATAATTTAGATTTGTATCTTGTAAGCTAAAATAATTCTGTACTATAGTTCCTATGTATAATTTTCATGAAATTGAAGGAAAGTTGATAAAATCTTTTACCATGAGCTATGAAAACAGTCAAAAATCTAAATACACTCATGTAAAGCCTGTATTTCTACTTCCTATACAAAGACTGTCACAGAATTTCATATCACTCCTGGGAAATGAATCTATTTCCAGAAACACATAAATATACAGACAACATATATAGTTAATACATTATTTCTTTGGTGATGTATACTTGGTACACAGCATATAGCAATTTAATAGGAAAATTATATTTAGATGAATTTTTATAGCAAAATTCTGAACATCTATGCAGTAATAAAATTCAGTCAATTTCTTACCACTATTAAAAGTCTGACATTATTTAGGATCCAGTGCAAGACTGTTACACATATTTCATGACTGACAACAGCAGAAAAAGAGAAAGTTAGAAAGGGAAACACCGCTTGAAGAAGGCCATAGATAAATTACAGAAATTAGGTTAATTTTATTTTGTGTCAGGAAAACCTAGCAGAAATTCAGCTGCATTCTCTGTATATAATAAAATACAAGTGCTATGAAGTTAAAAAGTATACTCAAAACCTAACACAGACATGTATAAACTCTGTGATATGCTTTCTTAAAAGAGTCTACCTACTCTACTAAATAAATCTCTAAAAACCAACAGAAACAGAATGAAATTCTATTAAGGACAGTATATGAAACAACTTTTTAAAAACAACCAGAAAAGAACCATTTACTAAGAAAGGATGTAAAATAAAATTGTATAAGATATCACAGTATTGGAATTTATCACAGAATATGTTTCTTTTTTTTCTGTGATTGCCAAGGCAAACACAATGCCCAGATCACACAAGGATGATTCTGATAATTGTATGAACAAGGATGGATTTGCTTCATGTATCACAGTCATTCGAACAAATTGCATTTTGACAATGAATAAGAAGCCTGTGATAAGTTCAGAAAAATGGGAAAACATATCTTGGAAGGTCACAAATCCAGAATGACCTGGGTTTTGTGACAAAGAAAGAAACATGCACATGTTCTGGATGTGGCAGGGTGGGGAGGACTGTTAAGGCAGTTTTTGATATACAAGAAAAATTAAACTGAAACTAGAAGGTGATTTTTTTCCCCTCTTCCTAGAACATAATTTTGAGATATATACTGATAGACCCTATATATAACAATGTGGAAAAATATATGAAAGACAGAAACACTTTATATGAAAGCAGGATGGGGAAAATTATTTATAAGACACAACAGGTTCTTGACAAACTTTTGTTTATCAACCATCAGGTTGTTAATAAATCTTCATGAGAAGAAAGTATGAAATAGACTTTTATTTTTTGGCGTAAAAGAAAAAACTAAATCAAGGACAAATTTCTATAGGCTTAAGCAAAAAAAAAAACCCTTGAAGAGACAATGCAGAAATGCAACAGTATTCCTACTTACACACACTTCCATGGAAAATGGGTTAAATGTAAATGGCCTAAAACAAAAGACTTCCAGCATCTTCAAAGAAAAACTGAGTGGTTCTCTGGTGGAAGTCTAACCATAGGCAAACTGAAAACATTGTGCTTGAAGATATCCTACAGATAGAAGACCTGTGTATACATTCTCATCTCCTGAGCATATCCCACATTTCATGGGCTACATTTGCTTCTCTTTAATTATCAAAGTGCTCTATGCATAAATAAACAACTGGAAATCCAGGGAACAAAAATGGGGAATAAAAGGAACAATTATGGTGCACAAATGCTCCATAAATGCTACAGGTCAAGTTACAAGCCTCTTTCAATATCCTCCAATGTAAGGAAGAGTCACTGCTGCCTTATTTTCTGGATGAACTATACTCCCTTTTTTCATATCAGATATATTAGAAAAAAACCAAAAAAGGATTTCAGGGAACAAAGACACAGAGTCCAGAATTGAAGGAAAACATCAGAGACCTTGCCACTGATCTGGGCTGGATGACAAGAAATTGGAGGACATTTGAACTCTGATATAATAGCAATTCTCAAACAGGAGAGGAAGAAAGCTCATATGAACATGTAAGTGCCTGTAGAGAATGGAAATCAAAAATGGCAAGAATTAAGTGATGCACAGACCCAGTGTCTAAAGAGTGGAATAAATGTGGATATGAATGTTCCTATGACAAGCAGGAGTGAAAAAGGGACAATGGTACTCCAGAGACATACTGGGAGACCTACAGTACCTACTTTCATCAGGCTTATGGTGTTTTATTTTTAAAGTGAAGTATAACAGGAATACTCACATCTTATTATTTGGGATTACTGGAGAGTAATGACTCATCAAAACAATTTCTCAAGAACTTTGAGTTCTATCTATAGATAATACAGGATCTTATAACCACCTACAACAACTTTTAACTGAGAGCCAGTATGAGATTGGTAAAGCTACTTTTGTCTGAAGAGGATCAGAAAGCAGAACAGAAGATAACAGTCCAACAGTTAAAGAAAAACGTATGGCAAAAGGAATAATTGATGTCTGTATGTTCTTCTTGAACAAACAAAATAGCTGCCAAAAAGCCTATCAAAACACTTGTCTTTTCCCTTCCCTTCTTTCTACATTCTCCCTATTTCCTTACCTTCAAATACATAATTCTGCCATTTCTCTTCTGCTTTCCACAGCTTAATTCCACTTGCACCAAAACTTTCAATAAGAAGTAAGTACTTTGTTATTCTGTCTTCTCTTAATGCCTTCTGCATGTCCCTTTTTCTTATGTTGTGTCCATAAAGTTATTTCTTAACCATCTTGTTTGTAAAGTTTGATCACATTATAAAGCGAACAAACTTCAGCCACAGTATCATTGACTCAATATCTCATACTGAGGCACGTGAGTGGAAGACAAACCTGAAGTTCTAGTACTACAAGCCAGTCAGCCTCAGACAGCCAGTACAGGCAGTCAGTCAGTTGTATTAAAGCATACTCCACTATCCAACGTTGTTATATAATCAGTTGTAAGTCTAACAATGTAGAATGAAGAAAGTAAGATTTTTAATTCCATTGAGTCATTTGACCACATTATTTCTATGGATTACTTATGCACCAGCTGATGGGGACATTAGCTACTTTAAGTTACTAGAATATCAGCTATCTCAAGTGAGCTCTCAATTATTTTCTCTCTCCATTAATACCTCTGCTGTTATGCTCAGATTTCAAAGTTTGGTTCCAACAGATAATGCAAAAATTGTACTTATCAGTAACAGGCTATTACAAACACAATCAGATTTTCTAGATGAGTTCCACCCTTCAGTCTGAGCAACAAAGAATGTCTTATTGGCTTTCTTGATACAAGAAATTCCCAAATATCATCTCTTCATCAATCCCTCATTAGTCTGACCTCAGCAAAATGCAATGAATAAAAGGTGAGCTTAATCAAATCATGATAAAGTAAAATAAAAAAGTACTAAGCCTTTTTAAATGAAGTTATTAAATCCAAGTCAATTATTAACTATCAAGCAATTACATTTGAAAGCATTCTCTTTCTCCAGTAGTAGAGATATCTGAAACTGAATCATGTCATCATTCATCTCCATTAAACTTTGTATCCATAAAGTGCTGACAGAATTGGCCTGTCTGCCCATTGTTTGATTTATTTTTGATAATTTCATGGTTTAACACTGCAGTAAAAGGTGCCAATTGAAAAGGAAGTGCTAAAGTATAAATATAATTTGTAAATCAATAAGAATCCCTTGCATTAAGTGCAGAGCCTGAATACATCGTAATTATTCCTGCTGAGTCTTACCCAAAATCGCCCCTGACAGAAAAAACCTGGCAGTTTCATGACACATTCCACCAGAATGAAAACATTTCACCGTATTAGTGTTCACTAATCTACATGTCTGAACAGTAAGAAGCACAGCTTCAAAGCAGGAAACATCAGAAGGTGGCTAACTGGTGATGGATGTAGGGCAACATTTTAAAAGATTGAAGTCCTGGTTAGCTGCTGTATGTGAATTCCTTTCTAAGGTTTTTCTTACTCCTTTCCATAGAGTGTCCAAAACTGGTGAATTAACAGCCTTTTAGACTGTACATTTATATGTAAACCATTCAGGCTACCCAGTGTGGATTAATTATATTTTGTTCCATTAAAAATCCATTAAGATTTCGAACCAAGTTCACCAAAGAGAGAGGTTCTTTTCTGGTCAAAGACACTTTTCTGTAGTAGTAGTTTATTTAGGAGATACAACAGCTTTTAGAGACAGCATTTTAAAATTATGGTTATCTTTGACTATCAGCTGGAGATTCAAAATTGATTGGACTTCTGAGGGAAAAAAATACTGCAATCTGTATAACTAATTTAATTTGCCTACTATGATTCTAGTTAAAGCAATGCATTTGAAATCTAAAAGTCAAGCATTTCTTATTAGACATTCATTTCAAGAAGTGGATTGTGAATACTACATTCCAGGCAGTGAATGGGTGTGGTAAAAAATACCAACAAAATGAAACAATGAGTATATTGCCTGGGGTCTCTTTTGAGTCATTGCAGTCATTATCTTTTGTAGTCTCAGAATCTTTTACAAGAAGATGTGACTGCTCACACCAGGTCTCCAAGAGATTCTGAATCTCATTTCAGGGATTTTTCCATAAGATCCTATGTGCAACAACACTTACAGAAGAAACAATTTTTGTTTGGATTAAACTAGAGCACATGATGCAATTAATTTACCATCTTTACAACACTACCTCAAACCCAGCAGAAACATGAATCTTGAAACTTTTGACAATAAATAGCAGTTTCAATTTGATATATAAAAACAATGACACAAAATAAGAGGGCAAGTTTTCAACACAAAGGTTAAACTTCTTCAGTTGCTTGATTTGATGAACAGATAAATCAGAATATGTTCACCATGAACACTGTGATTGCACAATCAGTGCTGGTGTCCAGTATCTAGTGTGTAAATGTTAATCTGTTCTGAATAGAATATAAATTACTGAAAGACTTCTCAATTCCTTCAGCTAATGCTCCTGTTACAGTTACTATCAAAGCAATACCAGGAGATCAGCAACATTAACATATTCAAAACAAAAGCTAACTATAGGTAAGCCATGTAACTTGTCCCTACAGTTCAAAGTTACCCATTTTCAGAAGAGATATTAACGTGCAAATATTTTATATGCATGTAATTAGAAATGAGGATAAAGTGTCATGTGCAAAACAATTTCATCCGATGCTCATTTTGTAAGCTATGACAGTACCTGTTCTCAGTCTTGAGGGTAGATCTGACAGAACTGATAAAACTTGTTAATAATGAGTACTCCAATACATCCAGAACATCCGAACTTCAGTAAAACTGGAGACAATTCTGGGTCTCTAGGATTATAAATTTCTAAAGGCATGGTATAAAAATGTCATGATCTAAAGCTAGACAATGAATTCTGTTTCCTGCAATGTAATTTTGTAATTACTTTACCCCAATGTGGCTTTGTTGATTTAAAGCAATAAGAAGTGCATTAAGATGGCACACATCATCAGTGTGCACAAATAGTGCATAAAGTTTATAAATAGTATAATACTTCTCCAAAATGAATTTATTTATTTCTCAATTTTATAAAAGCATACACATAAACATATTTGTTGCACCATTGAAATTCAGTAAGAGTTACTTCTCTTTTTTGGTACTCATACAATAAAATGAATAGATGTGAGCAGAGGTTTTTATGTGTATATTTTATTTTAAATAAATAAATCTCAAATTTCACATCTCAAATTAATTAGATACTGTACTTAGGATACTTATAAGAACTCAATTTTTTTGTGCATATTCTTACAGGAGTTTAATCTCTTAACCTTTTTAAAAAAAAACAGGAAAATGGAAGTAAATTGGAAGATAAAATCTGGCACATGAAAGGAGAAGAAAAAATTAACTTCAATAATGTTACTGGGAAAAAAAATCCCTTGTGTTATTAGTTTCATATGATATTCATAAAATTTTTTAGGGTATTTTCTAAAACATTTCTCTCCTACCATGCCTTTTCAAAAGTATTTGTCTTTTAGACCGTAACAGTACTTAGGTGTCTACAAAACCACATATTCACAACATCACTTAAGTTAACTGAAAAGGCATGCAAAGGATCCAACTAAGTTTACTACATACTTTGAACTGAATAATTACCACCTCAGAAATAAGGGGACATGAGTATTACCAAAAAGAATACAAAGAGGAGTCCACAGCATCCCAGGATAGCAGATACAGCTACTGTGAAATAGTGTTCTCAGGGTCTGAGAGCTGTCCCCAGCTGAGGGGCTGGGACAGACGCTAAGGACACTACACCCAAACACCAAGTACCTCCTCGCATTTTGAAAAACAGGTTTGCTTACTGCATTATCCTTCACCTGATCCAGAAAATTCCACCTGATGGACTGGAACTGCAGGAAGGGATGTACCTTGTGTAAACATTGTTTAATTGAAGAAAACAGTAATCTCTTCACAAATAAATGTTTGTCAACACCATGAGATGAAAATTGAAAGCAGTTACTCTTTTGTTTAGCAGTATAACTGCTTTTGTTGCTCTACTTAGATGTTAACACTGAAGTAGGATTTTGTCTCAGCACCTTTTGGGATCATAGCACAAGATTCTGAGACTTTGTTAAGAAGTTCTGAAAGTGCTCATTAGCAGGACCCAAGAAACTTCAGAACTTCATAGTATCAAGTAACACATATATTTTATTCTTGCTTCATTAAAATAAATGTATCATATATTTAGAAATACTGTTCGGAATGCAATCAATTGTGGCAAAAGAAGAACATATACCATAATATTTGCACATAATTACACTCTCAGATTTTATATTACACTCAATTCAGACCCCAAAAGTATACTGAAATGTAACAACCCTAAACAATGTCAAATCCAGTGGTAACTGATATTTCACTTTAATATAAATCTGAGCATAAGCACTCTAAGATTTGGTAAGATTTTTCTCTCCAAAATAGTAAGAACTGCTTAATTTATCAGTAGTAGCTGTTTTTTCCCATAGTCATGTCTGCCTAAACAGTAGTTTTAGATTAAATACCAAGTATAACTCTATAGTTACAAACATTGATACATGTGATGCTTCAGAACAGCAAGACCATTGCTTGCATGAATGACATACCACTTCATCTTCAAATCCCCCAGCTAGTACGAGTGAGTAAGCTCCATCATTACTGCGTCCATGGATTCCACCAACATGGGGTCTGTGAACACCTGCTTCGCTCACCTGGAAACAGAAAAACACCAGTTCATAGCAATTTTTTTTAAAAACCCAGTCACCTACAACCACTTTTAACAATCAGTTTTCTGCATAAAATATTTTACAGAGGTTTCTGTGTCAACAGTTAATGCAAGACTGCTGTTAAAGGTGTGAATTCCACTTCTTTAGGATGAAAAATGAAAAGTAAGAACATCCAGAAAACCAGCAGGACAATGTCGGACAGTGGTGACACTGAAAGACGTAATGGTAAGCTTTCTTCTTTGGGGAAAATCACCAAGATCTTTTCCATAAGCATTAAGTACGCAGGTCTGTACTCACTGCTATACTCCACTTGCACAGTCATTTAGGACAATTCAAAGGAGAAGGACATCTACCAGCTTGGTACCATTTTACAGTTTTTAACCAAGGAAGATCCCAGTGTAAAGATCATTTTGTCAGGGACTTTTAAGGTAACATGCTGTAAATGTAACCAGCGGAAAGGAATATTATCATACTGCCTAAGGAAACAGAAGAAGCCATTGCAACACCATATGGATCATAGACTAGTTCTCCAACCAGGATAACTCTCTGTAATAAATGTTCAAGTAATTTGCCACCTGACCACCTGAAAGCTACAGCTGTAGCATAATCTGGCAACATCATTAAAGTCTGCTGGAGCATCTGTCCCACATAAGTTTATTTAATAATGGTTTAAAACTACTGATTAGTAGAAAAGCCCCATAAACAACCTTCACATATAAGAAGAGACTACATATTAAATTATGCATTTTCTCAGTATGTTATGCAAAAAATACTGTTGGTAGAATGAAGGCTTCCAGCACTACTTCTTTCTACCATCATATGTTCTTCCAGACCTTGTTTTTGCCTGCTTTTCTCATTCTCCTTTTTGCACTCTTAAACTCCTTTTCCCAACCTACAGTTCTATGCAGCTTTCATGGAAGTCTATATTCTGCTATACTCTTGAAATTTCACAACACATACATCAAAGATCCAGCTAGTCAAAAATACACTTTTTAACAACAGATTAGAGCTGTGCACAGTATGAAAGCTATGCAAGGACACAATAATACTTCCTTAAACAGTTTCTTGGGATCCAGCTGTCTGTGGCTATCTTCCTATTCTGATGAAGACTTTTGGATTCATAGTATTTAAGATACAGAAGAGTTCACAGTAGTACCACTCGTCATATGAACTAGCACCACTTCTAGCCACTTTGGAGTGAAAAGCTGATATTTTATTCATAACAGTTTACAAAATTTGACATTACAGAAGTATGTATACTGGTCTCACTTTTTATATACTGTACATAATTTTGTAGTCATCTACACCCCACAAAATTTTCAACATTTTCCAAATGAATGAAAGCCATTCCATTCCTTTATTTGTCCTGGTTGCTTTTCACAATAATTTAATTTATTTTCCTTCAAATGACCCTTCATTTCATGAAAATTTAGTAATTGATTTATTTTCCTGATCACCATTAAAATGACATATTTTTCAAAATTAACTATTAGAATATCTCATTGCTAAATAACAAGAAGATTAGGTAGCTGAAAACCAATTACAAATTACACACTTAGAACTCTTGCCAGCCCCATGTTTGCAATCCACAACAACTTTTAAACTCACATTTATCACCAACTTGCCAGTTTTTCCACACCATTTGTGGGTATGCTGAATAAAAAAGCCGTACTATTGTATTCCTCTTTCCTGTTGTATCAAACATCCTTTAATTCATTCCTCCCTCCCTCCCTCCCTCCCTTCTTTCCATTTCCAGGTTTCATCAATTAAATTCAGGTTTCTAGTAGGTGATTCATGAAAGATGAACACTGATAAATAATTCATGACAAAGATGCTGTTCAGATACTCTCTCCGAAGTAATGTTTAGTCAATTCCCTTCTATGGAAAACAGAGTTTTTGTCATAAAAAAACTACACAAATCAGAAATAAAGTTTTTAAATTCTCATACAGTCTCTAAATTCTCACGGATTAGCGGAGACAATCTAATTTTTTCATAAAAAAGACAAGCTCATATGAGAAACAAAAGTGTAATTTAACTTTCTACATAGAAAGGGTTTCAATTTTTTTAAAAAAATGACGAAGTGTTTAGTTTGTACCCAAAGTAAATTAATTATGCATAAATGGTAATTGTCTTTTGATATTTAGTCCATACATATATATACAGTATATATACTCTATATAATAAGTATATTATATATAATATATATAGTGTATAAATATATAAGAAACATTTTTGACAGATTTTCTGATGAAAGCAGAACTCTAATTGTGTTTCTTTTTCCTACCAATACCAGAAATACTTGAAAAGAATTAGCTTTTGTTTTACCAACAGAATTTCTAATGAAAAGGTAAACTATTAATTCCAATTACTATTGAAGCAGTGAAAATAGGAATTGATTTTGATACTTTGAGTTTGCCTAAGTGATTTTAGAAAGTTCACTTATGTATTAGGCTTTACATAATCTGGTACCTAGCAAAAAGAAAGCAAGTGATGAAGAGTACATTAAACAAATCAGAAGAGGCTTTTGACTTTTGTTTTGTCCCTCCTCAAGCAGCTTAAAAACCTCTGGTTTTATTCTTCCAAATAAGAGAGAAAATATTCCAATACTTAGTTCCAATCATTTACACATGCAAGAGACAAAGAATTGTGACAGGCAGAAAGACAACCGATTTAGAAAACAAAGAAATATGTATTTTCGTTACTAAAAACAACAACTAAAAAATAAAAATCATTGCAATTGGATCAGGCTGGAGCAAAAGAGTTTGGAGGAAGTTTGTAGCTTTCTGGACACTACAAAACCAGAAAAAAATCAGTACTGGCACAAAACACAGCTGTCCCCTCCTCCCTGCTTTGTTTTTTCCTGCCCCATTGAGTATTGGCACTGTGCTTACATAACCAAAATGCGAAACAGACTGGGAAAATTAGCCCCCAATCTACTCCAGATGGGATTATTTTTCCACCAGTTTTTTACAAACCTCATTTACCAAAGAGTCTAAGGAATATTTGAAACAGAAACTGAGACAGTTCAAAAAAAAATACCATGAGCTGAATATACAGTGACTTTCAGTAGCAGTACAGGCTTACATAGGTTTAAGTTGTTCATCAGCCTACAAAGCAGATTTGGATATCCATTACATATGACCGAAGACACCTACAGAGTCAATTGTTAACACATAATGTTTTCAAAATCTTCAGTCTACATCCCATGCATGGGATAATCAGTTCATGTGAAGAAAACTCTTCAGAAAATACTTAAATCTAGCCACTACTGATTACACTTAAAAATTTTAACATGTGAATTATGTTTATCCTAATTCCAACAGACTTTATACAAAGTTGTATCAAAAAGTTGTATGGTAAAATCAGTATACTTCAACTGTCACTACTATCAGCGTTAATTCTAATATTGGAATCATAATGTATTTGCATTGCTTAGTCCTGGTGAAACTGAAAATTGTCAACTGATACTTATTTTAGTGCCCAACCCATTCATTATTATTCCTACTTCCTTCAACTACAGCTAATACTAAAACAACCTACCTGAACTCTGAATTTCCAGGTTGTCCCAACGGGAACACCAGGTATAGGCCCATAATGATTTGAAGGAACAATAGTGCATTCCTTAGTGCGACCAACACAGGCCATGCCCTAAAAGTATACAGACAAAAGCAATCAGACAAATGAATTACAATACTGGAGACTATTTGTAAATTCAATGCAGAGGTCATGAAATCTGTCTATTTTAATGAACACATACTTCAAAATATGTTAACAATTGTTAAAAGGAATGTTAAATTAAGTAATATGTGGTTATGGGTTTGGGAGGGGAGTTGGGGGTTGTCTTTTTTTGTTTTTACCTCTAGTCACTTCAATAATCCTTCCACTGCTTTAACTGCCAGTAAACAGTGGGTAGGAATAAACATTGTCTTGTTGTCTGTGCAACCCAGTACTGAATTTTGTGTAGTGCATATGTAAGCAGAATTACAGATGTAGCACATACATGAAAAATCAGAGTAACAGCTATTTCTAAAACACACTCTACCTTTCCCCAGTCTCTCTGGCTTTCAGTACTGGCAGATGGCATCTTTGCTTTCTTTTTACTCTGTTTGAGTTTTTCTCCAGCCTTTACAACTTCATTAGAATCATTTTTGCAGGAAGGACAATACCTAAAAAAAGGTTTTAGTAAATTCTCAATTAACTTCATAATAATGGCAATACATTTCTTGTAGCCAAAATAGTGTCCATTTCTTTATTTTGACTGAATGTTTCAAGTTAGCAAGCATATACCAGTCTTAAGCAGCTGAAGTCTACGGCTTAAAAAAATGAACTCAATGTGAACAAATACTGTCAACTTTTTATAAAAAGGGGTTTTTCAGTATCTTTAAAGGTAGAGTGCTAGTTGCAAAACATACATTCATATATTTTTTCTCACATGATATGTGAGAGGTCCCCATGTCTCCTGTATTCTCTCTTCATTTAGTCTTCCTTCATTTACATCATATAAAGGAGAAGACAGCTGAGATTAGAGTATGCTGCTAACCAGTACTCATGGTCTGTTTCTGTGTGTTTCCCAGACTACCCTTATTTTTTGCTGGTAGTGCAACAAATTTTACTGCAGATTGCTGAATGTCAAGCAGAGCCAAGGTATGACGCAGTGTGTATAGAAACTCACAAACACACACTCACTTACTCCACAACACTGAAGCCATTTGGAATATAATGCTCACTCCAACTAACACAAATCCATTCTGGTAGGAAAGCAGAGATGCTAGTATACATTTACTACAGCAGAGAGAGAAAAGGACAACAGTGGTCATCTGCTGTTTCCAACAACATTCCAGTCCAAAAACAACAATACAAAGGCATGTCCATGTTTCTGGCTCCCATAGGCTCGATTTGGCCCACACACCATTAGAAGGGGAAGCCTAATCTACACTGACATTGATAACCTCGTTCAGGTAACAGAGGTATTTAAAGTACCTCGTTCAGGTACTTTAAATACAGTAAATAATACTAGTATTATTGCTGTTTTGAATTTATTAAGTTTTCTATGCGGATATGAATAGAATAATTAATGATTAAGGTCTACAGGAATAGATTTCACTATCTCAATGAAGGTGTTGGACCAGTAAAAGAATGAGGCCATGTAGATTTAAAATAATAATGTAAGATGCTGAAATTGTCTGACACTATGACTTTGACAGGTATTACAGCTACTTACAGAAAAAGGATATAAGACCAGTAATAAGAACAAACATGACATAATGCAAATTCACAAGGTGAATTAACTAGGTGAAGTCACATAGTAAATTCCATGTTTCTTGATATGGTAACATTACCTTAACAACTTTGAAAGAGAATCTTGTAGGGAATACTAAGTACTGTTTCACATACCAAGGGACTTAATGTCCAGGAGATAAACTTATCCTTTCCCAAACTGAAGGCTTAACCCCTGAAGAGAGTTTGCTGGATTTTATACTCTAAAAACACAAAATGGAAGTACTTCCAGTTCTAAAACAAACTGTTCCTAAATTAAGAATCAGACAACAATGACTCTTTGCTAGTATGCAAGAAGAAGGGAGAGCACAAACTTATTCTTTGGCAGGAGATGCTGCTTTGCCCAGTGTAAATGCACATATAATGACAAGCATTAAGACAGTGTAGGGCTGGTGACGTTAAGCATTCCAAAAGTAGTTCAGATAAGCCAGGTCCACAACTGTACCTCTACCACCCTGTGACTTCATCCACAGATTCAGCTATCTACTTACATATATAGATCTTCAGACTCCTATTCTTAGTTATACAGTGAACAAAAACAAGCTAAAAAGCTTGACAGCAATTTTCCAATAAATTTTAACTACATGAATTAAACTTCCAGAAATTCATAATTTGGAGAATGGACCAAGACTAGCTCTGGAGAGGAAGAGGTGTTCGTGATCAAAAGTCTTATTACTATTACGCAACCATGTGCACTGGGAACCCAGAAAGCCAACTCTCATTCTGGGCTGCATCCAAAGCAGCATGGGCTGCTGGTCAAGGGAAATGATTCCACCCCTCTACTCTGGTCTTGTCAGACCCCACCTGCAGTGCTGCATCCAGCTCTGGGGAACCCAACACAAGGAAGATATGGACCTGCTGACAAGAACCCAGAGGGGGCCACCATGTAGCCCCACCAGGCAGCTGGGGTAGAGCACCTCTGCTATGAAGACAGGCTGAGAGAGTTGGGGCTGTTCAGTCTGGAGAAAAGGCTTGAGGAAGACCTTATAGCACCTTCTAGATAGTTTAGATTTTAGTAAGAAGTTCTTTCCTGTGAGGATAGTTGCCCCAGAAAACAGGAAGACCACCAAGCACTAACCAATAAACATTATGGAATCCAGTGCGGTATAGGAGATTGAGTTATTAATTTACAAAGAAAGTTATAACATCCAAAAAATTCACATAGATTCTTACATAAAATCATAAGGTTAAAAGAGATTCCATGTAATGTACTCATAGACATCTTAGACATTCAACGAAGTCTACGGAAAACTTTATTAGAATAAAGTTCTATTTATTACTCATTTATAAAGGATTAGCATCTCAAGTAAGTCATAGGAAGGTGATAAATATGAACAGTGTAAATTGTAGACAGATAATAAAGATGTAAGAGTTATTACATAATAAATGAAGAATAGCAATGTAGTGGTCCTTCCACAGCATGAAAAATGAATGTAGTAGAGGCAACAAAGAGCACAGGGGCAGCAGCAGGTACAGAGGATGAAGGGGCAGAGAGTGAGCATAAGAGAATTGCTCAAGCAGTGAAGCTTTTGAGAAATGAAAAGGCTGAGGAACAACTGTTGATAAATACAACCAGATCAGATAATGTCACAGAAGATCATAATGATCATAATGAATAAATTGAACATACCAGTCCTGAAATTTCATAATGGCTATTAAAGCTTACTACTAATCCGTTGTGAATGATTTAAAAGAATTATCTTGACAGAAAACATAAGCCTTATATTAAGTAGGATGAAAACACCCCAGAATTTAAAAACATCTTCAGTATTTTCTCTCATGAGGTGCAAATATCAAAAAGGTAACATGTATAGAATGTGAATATAGGTAAGTAAATCATCCTTGTATATTTACCAGTCTTCATCTTCTGGTATCTTGCTTAAAGGAGGGTTCAGGCAGTATATATGATAAGCCATATTACATTCATCACACAAGAGTTGCATGTGAGCATCTTGTTTGCCACCACACAAGTAACACGAACAAAATCGGCACTCCTTATCGGGATCAGCCCTACAGTGCTTGCATTCAGGGCCACTTTTTCCTGTCAAAAACAAAGAAATGTCAAATGCCATGTATCTCAGAAAAGTGCATTACTGTATCTAAAGAAGTAATTATTTCTGAACATGAACACTGCTCTCTTGAAAATGCTTCTTTTCTTACAACGTGCTATTTATCAAGGCTTAACAAGATTTCTTCTGCTGTATAAACAAGCCATAAAAAACATGATTTATCATCAGCTTCTCTTTATTTTCTCCTGTTCCCAAGATGCACCTGCACATTCTCCCTAAAGATGGAGCTTTGTTGTCTTTTGAAGCTATACAGCTTATCAGATCCTTGTAAGTTAGCTTGGATAACATAAGCAATGAAAGTAAATATTTCTTTCAGGAGTATATTCTTGAATAGAAATATGAGGTGGATTCTTGATGTATCCAGAGGAATTCTGGATACTTAAACATTTTTCCTAAATATACTGAGAAGGAAATTAATGACTAAGAATTTGCAGAAATCCAAGCCCCTTTCTACTGAAGAAAAGTATGCCCTCCCAACTGAAGACACTACAGGGAAAGTGATCCCTGCAGTTGTAAGTTATCAGGGTAAATCTCTGTGATGAGAAACTCTGGACTGAAAGTTAAGCAAGGGGGACTGGAATGCCAAGCATTGTGCTGTATCTGCAGTCTTTCTGGAGGACCTTTAACAATACTTTATCTTCGAAGGCAGAACCAACTAGACTTAGAGCGGGAAGAGGATAGGGTTTTGATTAACAAAGAAGAGTCAGGAGCTGCTGATGAATTAAAAACTGATAGGGGAACATGTGTGAAATGCCTCAAAAGAACTAGAGCTTTTTCATCTAAAATGCTGACACAGTTGATAACCCAGTCAAAATGTCTGTACACTAGCATATGTAGCATGAGTGACAACCAGATGAATTGGAAGTGACTGGAAAGCTATGATCTAATCACAAACACTGAAACTTGGTGGGATACATCACATGACTGTAGCTCTCCAATTGACAGCTACAAACTGTTCAGAATGGACAGGAAAGGAAGGAGGGGCAGGCAACTTGTCATCTCTATAGACTTGATTGCACAAAACTGTCTTTGAAAAACAGCAACAACCAGGTCAAGAGCTTGAAAATCAGAGGCCAATCCAATAAAGGAAATCTCATGGTTTGCGTTTATTACCCACCACTCAATCGAAGGGACCCTGTTGACAAAACCTTGTTACTTCACCTGCAGGTGCTTACTGACACGGATTAACTAACTGGAGAGGTCAGGATCAGCGGAAGTCTGGGCTGAAGTGATCATGTCTGAGTGGAATTCATGACCTCAGGGATCATGGGCCAAAGAAAATCAGTACTCTGAATTTGAGGACCTGAGCTTCTAGTTATGTAAGGAATTAGTGGATGGGACCCTCCAAAAAACTGCACTCAGGAGCAGAACAGAACTCTCAGATCTTTAAGGACATTTCTCTTAGAGCCCAAGATCTCTCAGTTTCCACCAGTGAGCGTTCAGGCACAGAAGGCAGGAGACCAGCATGGCTCAGTAAAGACCTCCTGGACAAAGTGAAATACAAGAAGGAAAAGCACTGGACATGGAATAATGGACAGGAATCCAAGAAAAGAGCAGGGCTGTCTGGTTGTGGAGGGATGATTAAGAAATTAAGAAAGCTAAGGTATAGTTGGAGCTGAATTTGGCAAGGGATACAAAGAATAGTAAAAATGGCTTCTATAGGCATGTTGGTCAGAAATGGAAGATTGAAGAAAACACAAGCCCATCCTCCCCTCTGTCCCCCAAAATGAGACAGAACTAATGACAATTGACACGGAGAAGGTTGAGGTACAAATTGAGCAATTTTGTTTGCCTCTGTTCATTAGTAATCACTCTTCCCATATCTCTCAAGTCCCCGAACCTCAAGAGAGGAACTGGGGGATTGAAGTGTGTTGACTGATTGGTGTAAGAGCCAACCAGGTTCCAAAACATCTGAAAACCTGAACATAGACATGACCATGGGACCCAAGAAGATGCGTCCCAGGATCCTGAGAGAATTGTTTAATGTAGTTGTTAAGCCACTGTCCATCATGTATAAAAAGCCATGGCTGCCATTTCATGTCTGAAAATCCATGGCAGTCAGGGTAAGCTCTCAGTGACTGGAGAAAAAGGAGTATTTCAATCCTTTTAAAAAAGGGTAATAAGCAGGAACCCAGGAATTATTTACTACTCAGCCTCATCTCAATGCCCAGTAAGATCACAGAGCAGAGAGACTCCTGGAAGACATATCAAAACATGTGCAAAAACAGAGGGCTGGTTAAAGACAGCCAAAATAGCTTCATGCAGTGAAAATAGTGCCTGTTTAGAACAGTGGCCCTTCACCATGGAGAGAATGCATTAATTGTCAAAGGCGAACTATAAATGTCATTTACCGGTCTGTAAGGCCTTTTATTTAGACCCTCACAATATTCTTAACATAAAATCACAGAATTATAGAATATCATGAGGAAGTATGGATCCACAAGAATCACTCATGTCCAACTCCTGGCCCTGCAGAGGACATCCCAAGAATCCCTCCATATGCGAGAACATTGTTGAAAAACTACTTGAATCCCTGCCAGGCTTGGTGCTGTGATCACTTCCCTAGGGAGCCTGTTTAAGTGTCCAAGCACTCTCTGGGTGAAGAACCTCCAGGTTGGAAAAGGTTCTTCACCCAGAGGATGCTTGGACACCTAAACACAGCTTCAAGCCATTCCCTCAGGTCCTCTCAATGGTCAGTGAGAGGTCACAGGGACCAGTGTCTGGCCCTCCCCTTCCCCTCATGAGGAAGTTGTAGACTATGATGACTGCCCTCAGTCCTTTCTTCTCCAGGCTAAACAACCAGGCAACCTCAGATATTCCTTGTAGGCTTCCCTTCAAGGCCCTTCACAGCCTGTACTTTGTGACCCTCCTTTGTGACACTCTCTAGCTTTATAACTGCCTTACATTCTTGCTGCTAAACTGAAGAGAGAAGGGTTTGATGAATGAAAAGATAAATAGATATGGACTTAATTAGATGGCCACATTCGAAGAGTGAACGGTACATACCCAATGGTTCAATGTAAAAGTGAAATCCATTAAGGAGTGGTGTTCTTTAAGGGTCGTAATGGTAACACTATTATTTTCTATCTGAATTGATGACATACCCAGTGGAATTGAGTGCGCCCTCAATAAGGTTGTAGGTGACACCAAACTAAGCAGTGCAGTTCATCACAGAATCAAAGAATCATTAAAGTTCAAAAAAAAATACCTTTTAGATCCTGAAGTCTAACTACCAACCTAGCACCATTATCACGTTCAGCATTAAACCATGTCCTCAAGTACCATATCCACTCACCTTTAGAACATTACCAGGGATGGTGATCACTTCATTGGGGAACTTGGTCTAATGCTTAACAATCCCTCCCATTTTTCCTAATATCTAATCAGTACTCTCAGACACATGTTATGACTTGCTTCAGCACCTCAGTGTCCTCTTTGGAGTGAGAGGTTCAGAACTGAACGAAACTGTGGCCTCCCCAGTGATGAGTACAGATCCCTGCCCTGCTCCTGCTGGCCACACTATTGCTGGCACAGGCCAGGATGCCATTGGCCTCCTTGGCCACCTGGGCACTGCTGGCTCCTGTTCAGCTGCTGTCACCAGCACCCCCAGGGCCTTTTCCTCTGGGCAGCTTTCCAGCCACTCTGCCCCAGCCTGTGGCACTGCCTGGGGCTGTTGTGACCCGAGGGCAGGACCCAGCTCTGGGCCTTGTTGAACCTCACAGCATGGCCTTGGCCCATGATCCAGCCTGTCCAGATCCCTCTGCAGAGCCTGCCTGCCCTCCAGCACATCAACACTCCCACACAGCTTGGTGTCATCTGCAAACTGAGGGTGCACTCAATCTCCCCATCCAGGTAATATACTACTGAGCCCTGGGGAGCATCACTGGTGACTGGCCACCAGCTGGATGCAACTCCATCTACCAGCAATCTCTGAGCCAAGCCATACAGGCAGGTTTTTACCCCATGAACCATGTGCCTGTTTGAGCCATGAGCAGAGAGTTTTTCCAGAAGAATGCTGTGGGAAACAGTATTAAAGGCTTTACTAAAGTCCAGGTAGACAATATCCACAGCCTTTTGCTCAACCATTAGGTAGGGTCACCCTATCATAGAAGGAGATCACGTGAAGCTTAAGACGTCTTTCACAAACCCCTGCTGGCTGGGCTGATCCCTTGGTTGTCCTGCACAGGTACGCGTGAGGACACTTGGGATGATCTGCTCCATGACCTTCCCCAGCACTGAGGTCAGGCTGACGGGCCTGTAGTTCCCTGAATACTCCTTCCAACCACTGTTATGACAGGTCCAGGGGATCATGAAAATGATCAGAGGGCTGGAACACATCTCCTGTGAAGAAAAGCTGAGAGAGAGATGATGTATTCAGCCTGGGCAAGAGAAGGCTTTAGGGATATCTTTTTGTGACCTTTCAATACTTAAAAGAAATAATAAGAAAGACAGTGAAAGATTTTTTTACCAAGATCAATAATGACAGAAAGCAACAATAATGATAACAAGAAGCAATTTTAAATTGAAAGAAATGTGATTTAGACCGGATACAAGGAAGAAATCTTTTATTGTGAGGGTGATGAGACACTGATACAGGTTACCCTGAGAAAGTGTGGATGCCTCATCCCTGGAACCTGTCAATGTCAGGTTGAATGGGACTTTGAGAAACCTGATTTAATGAAAAATACACCTGCCCATGGCAGGGAGGTAGGACTAGATCTTTAAAGGTCCATTTCAACTAAAACCATTCTATGATAAGAAGTGCAAAAACAATGCTGTTTGAACCATTGTTTTTAAGATAAAAAACTTTAAAACTTAAGAGTATAAAAGTATCGCTGAAGAAGGAAGATTACCAGCTGCAGATAGAAGGTACTGACTGGAAAACCTGATAAATAAATATGTAAAGCTACCAGCAGTGACTATTTTGCAAAGTCTTAGAGGCAAAGGTACACTTAAATATATATTTCTAAAAAGACTCCAAAATCTATGACAATATTGCTTTTCTAGGAGAAGTGTAGCCTAGAAAACATAACATGCTATCCAAATGGATTCCATTAGTTTGAGATTTATCTCCCAAGGTTCATTTGAAGAGAATGGAAGAATTTTGTGAGTGCTGATAAACAAATCTGAGCATTTTCCAGCACAGCTACATAAAATTCACAATCTGTGCAAGGCATCAATAACAATTCAAGTCAGACTAAGAAATCTCAGATAACTGTTAACTCCTTTGAAAAATTTTAAAAGTGATGATTGAGCACTCCCTATGGAAACCCAATAGCCTACCTCAGCCAATAAATAATAGACAACATGAAACAGCATATTTTTCTGTATCTCTGAGCATCATACATTGTTTAGGCCTATGTAATTAACTGGTTTCAGTTACAAAACCAGTTTCTTAGGTAAAAGGTTAGTAGTGATTTTTATTTAAATAGGAAAACAGCAAAAAATACTTACATATTTTAGTTTGGTTAAACAATAGGTGAAGTTCTCTACTTTCTTCAGTACACAAACAAACTACAAACTGTCATTTTCATAGTATCACTTTCATTTTCCACATTTCTGTTTTAACCATGTTGTAAGTCATATGCACTAACTATAGCTGCACAATTGGTCACATGAAGACAAGCCTGTTCATCTCAACCACCAATGTAGAATTTAGTCGCATAAATAATTTCAAATTATCTTTTTTTTTGCAGAAAGAGTCAGCACAAGTTTGCATTCTGATGGAAGTAATATATGTTGATACCTAGGTCTTATTTGAATGTTGCATATAAATATTTGTAATATATTTAAAAAGAGATTGCTTCTTAGATTTTTTTGTTTTGACTATAATTTTCTAACAGACTTAGCCTTACTTCTTTTACCATTTGTAGAATTTTTCTGCCATTAATTACTTAAAGAGTTACTATTTTTAATTGTAACTGCCGAATTTATATTGACATCACTTTACACATACAAACCCTAATTATTATGTCACCCTGCTCAAGAAATAAGAGTTTTTCTGCAGAGACAATCTACACTGTTAATCTGATGAAGATTATTTCCATAGTAGGCATTCTATCTTTTGACAAGGGCATGGACAGTAGCTTAATATGGACAAAAATACAGTCAGTGCATTTGCTGACTGTGCTTGCAACAATTTCATAGAATATTTAAGGCCAAATAATGATGTTAATTTCATCTGCCATGATTGTAATAAAATTCTGCCTCTTTCCATAGTACATAAGCTAAGTGTGTTTATAGATAGTTGTATATATATTTATTTTTTTATATATACATATAGGTACACATTTTAGTACAAATAGGGTTCTAAATACAGTCCAGAAGGAAGGACTACACTGGTGGTTATAGCATCCAGCTCCACTGTGTGCAGTGTGCATACCTGAACAAAGGCAAAACAGCTGACCTGGCTGAAAAACCAGAATCACATGAACAGAGTTGTATGGTGAGTGCTGGCTTCAGGAAAAAGAGCAGTTCAAGAAATAAGGCTGAATTCCAAGGTAAATTTATTTTTCATGATTACACTTTAAAATATTATGTTTGTGAATGATATTTATTTATGAAGGTTATAAACAGTCTGTTGAAATTAATAAGATTGGGACCAGGAACAAAATAAAATGAAACATACACAGAGGTGCAAGTCTCTACACAGATGTCAGTATTTGGGTAGTTTAAGCAAAGAGGTTACAAATAAACAACAATCAACATTGGAAGGAGGGAGGTATATTAGACAATGTAGGTCTTGACTCTGCAACAATTAGAGTGGCAATCAGCATACAAAGTACAGATTGGTGAGTCCACCCCTCAAATCCTGTGTTCAGCTTTGGATCCCTGATTCCAAGAAGGACATTGAGGTGCCAGAGTGTGTCCAGAGAAGGGCAGTGAAGCTTGTGAAGGCTCTGGAGCACAAGCCCTATGAGAAGAGCTCAAGGAGCTAGGGTTGCTTACTCTAGAGAAAAGAAGGCTCAGGGGACCTGAGACCTTATTGCTCTCTGCAGCTACCTGATTTGTAGCCAGGTGAGGGTCAGTCCAAAGGACTAGAGGAAATGGCTTGAAGTGGGGCTAGGGGAGGTTTAGATTGGTTACTACGAAAACTGCTTCACAGAAAGAATGGTCAAGCACTGGAAGATGTTGAAGTGATGGAAGTGCCACCCCTAGAAGTGTTCAAAAAACACGTAGATGTGGCACTTAGGGACTTGGTTTAGCACTTGTGGCACTTGGTGGACTTGATGGTCTTAAGAGTCTATTGCCATCTAAATGATTCTGTAAGTAAATACATCACATCAAATAGCACCATCATAGACAATTTTGTATAGTCAGCAATACAGTAATCACTCATTTCCTCAACCCATAATTAAAAAAATTAATTCACTACACAGTAGCTGCAGGGAAGAATTAAATGAACTGCAATACTCTTTTATGCCATTTAAAACGTTGCATACTTCCAAAATAAATAGTATCTAAACACAGATTAGTATTTGTAGATTTTCAATTTTCTCACACAGAAATCTTTTAAAATCAAAACATGCTTTAAAGATATTGAAAAGATCGTTCAATGTGACCAAGAAAAAATAAAAGAGTGGATAGTTCTTTTTTTTCTAAAGGGAAGTAATTTTTTCTAAGGGAAATAATTCTCAAATAATGAAAATGAATAATGAGTTGAGAAACTGACATTTTTACTTTTAAGAATACCACAGGGAATAGTATTTGCTCCTCTGAAAAACAGTGATTTTTTTTTTTTAAACAACAAATAAACATTAATCAGACTCGTTGTGCAGTGGGAGCCACCTACAAAGGTTCTGAAAAATTGCATGGAGTCAGGAATGTAATATATAATTATATCTAAATAATACCTACTTGTAGAGCTACAGTTCAATCTTCAGTGTTGCTATCACAAATACTCACCACTCCTAACTTCAATATATTTTCAAACTTAGGATAAAATGTCATTACTTTTTAGATAGACTGCCACTAACTCCTTATTGTGGTTGTGGGGAGGTTAAGGAGGTTTGGCAGGCTCAACTAATACAAACATTAATTATCCCTTTTTTTTCATGGTACAAGCAGCTTTAGTGCAAAGTTCCTTATATTTTTTTCTTCTCCCTGACATAATGACAGAGTTAAAGTGTATTACTACCAACTATTTCTATTTTTGGCATTTATTAATTTATTAAAAGCTTGAATGACATATCAGTTGCAACAGCAGTTTTGGTGGCCTGAACACCTCTCTAGGAACTTAAATGAGGCTGCAAATTCATTCTGTACTTTTCATTTAGAGCATTATCAGCTGTTTCTCTTTTTCACCATTTATGACTGACAGCACTAAGCTATTACTAGTTTCTGAATATGTCAAATAATACAGCCATCTTATAGTAACTATGCTTTGAAAACAGAAATCTAAAAATTATTCAATTCAATTGCTTTCTTGAACACAAACCAATTATTACTACTACCTCTGTATGCTGATATTATCTAAAGAAACATCACTCAATTTGTACTTATGTTCAAATAATTTAAAAGGTCCATACTTTTGAAATCTCCATCCCCAAATGTCAATGGATAGGCTCCTGGCTTTTCAATCTTGTACATTTCCTCTATAAAAAGGATTTTACAATCATTTATTGTGTCTTCTGGACCTCTGAAAAACAAGAAGAATAAAAAGAACATTCAACTTAGTTCCTCAGACCTAGATTCTGTACTTCTTGAATCCTAAGCAATAAGATAAAGTAGACTTTTTTTAATCACTGACAGGACACTGTATTTCAAATTCACACACAAAAATCAGTCTAGCACTGTGACTCCTCAGAAAAAAGTAAAACACATATTTAGTGTTCACTTAAAGAAAAGACTACTCCATTATCCTCAGACTGTCTGGCACTTCAGTATGTCTTTACTGACAGTTATGCAATACAGCTTAATTCCATTTCTAAAACCTCAAAAGGTTTTTATTGGCTGAACACAGCAGACCAGACAAAACCATATCCTCTGGAATACAGTATCTCTAACATTATTATAGAAGTATAGTATCAAAAACAAACCAGAAATGTGACCTATAAGACAGAATAATAGTTGGAACCCATAAAGCAAGAAAAGCAGCAGAAAAATTCAAAAGCCTTTTTTTAAAAAGACTTTTTTTTAAAAGTCTTCAAAAAGACTTTTAACTGTTTCTCCACTCTGGAAAGCCACAAACAAAACTGTACTGAATTATATATTGTAAATAGTCCTGCTAATGTCAGGTTTCAGTGCAAAATCTCAGTGACTAGTACTAACAAATATTCCAAGACTCCACAACAATTATGCCACAAGACTTCTAGAAAAGAATTAGAAAATATTAAACGCAAAGATTTTCACCTACTCTTATTAAAATATCTTTGTATCTACACAGATTGTAATTCAAATGGAAACCTATCTAGGAAGAAATGGACATATTGACACCAACAATGGTAAAGCCCTCCCTTTTCCTTCCTCCTCAGGATGATATTGTGCTCTCCTCAACTGCCTGTTCTGTTACCATTTTCAATTTACTACCTGATCTAGAAGTAAGCAGGAATTTTCAGTATAATAAAATACTGATGGATATCTGCAAGAACCTATCACAGAGGTGACTTAACAATACTTTTGAAGAAAGCCAGCCAGGTGATAGAGCCCTACAAAAAGGTTTAATCTGCAAAACAAAATTAGACTAGAGACAGATAGGAAAACAAGTTATTAGATTCATATTCAATAAGGATAACTGCAACAACAGAACATCTCCAGAAACATCAGGCTTCAGTCTGGAATCTGTGGTTTTCTGCTCTACCTCTGTGCCTGCTCTCACCATTTCCTTTGTGCTGACTACCAGTTCTTAGATTCTGACACAAGATAACCTAACTAAGGTAGAAAAAAATTAAGCCAGGGAAAACCTACAGACAACGAATCACCTTTTCATGGCCCTGAACACTGCAGTATTTAGGTCTCCATGGAACCTGTGCCTTGATCAATTCTAATTGCCTTTTAAAGTGTACCAACAGCTGTTTACTTAGCCATCTGTATTTATTTTGACCTTTTTCTTTCCCAGCAGTTTTTGGAGGAAAAACATTCCCCACTGTTGGTGCCATGCATAAACAGCAAATGCTAGCAAATATCAAATATTTAGGCTATTTGAACAGAATATATAAATGCTGCATCAATGCAAATACATCCATCAGATAAAGAACAGTTTGCTTTCCTGATCAGGAAAACAATGGATTTAGAATTAACTCCATTTGCACCCTAGGGGATAGTACTTTAAAGCAGTTCTGACCATTGTGAGTAACACCTCTTAGGTTTAGCATGCAGACACTTTGAATTATCCACAATACTGAGCAATTCACAATCACAAAGGCACAATACATTCACATATAGAAAGCACAAGATGTAGGACAATTTCTGGCAGCAAAACTGAAACAACAAACTCAACAAACTTTTCAATGCACCAGTATATCCCTGGTTATTTTGCAGACTTTGGAGTCTTTTTATTAACTGTCCTGTGTTTCTTATTATTCCTAGATTACTTAAAAACAAAACAAAACACACATGCTGACATTTTTTAATGCCACAAATTTATGTTAGAACTTCTCTTACTGACAGCACTGCTTGACTGCCTATCCAATTATTAGATACCCAATTATTACTGTTATTCCTCTAGAACTTACTTAGAACTCAAAGTTGTAGATCTAATTTAAAACAAAACCAGAGAATTATTACTTCTTTCACATAATATGAAATTTTATACTTAATGCAGCAGCTACAAATGACTGATATTCTCAAATTCCAGTAAACTTCAGACAAATTTAAGCATATTTTTCACTGATTTTTGCATCCTGCAAATCCTAAATCTGTGTGTAGTCTATAACCACTATCTCTACTACAAGCAAAACTGCATCTAGGAAGAACACATATTTCCTCTCCTCTCTCTACAGTGTGTTATGGTTTTGAGCTTTTTAACTTACCTTTCCCCCCACCCCTTCAATTTCCCCAGAAAGCTAAAAAGCACCTGTTTAAAAAAATAGCTTTACATTATTTGTATTCTCTGCATACGGTCTATGGTCAAGAAGGAAGGTTACCATACAGCTTTACTCAGAAATCTAGTCACTTGCTATTCACATCCTTGGGAAACAAGCCAAACTTGAGCTCAGTAGAATACTAATTAAGAGTAAATTTCTAATGGGGCCAATCTGAACAATAAAATTACTTTTAACTACAAATTATCACATTGTTTCCTTAAAAGATACCATGAAAAGATTTATAAATTGGTTCAATGATGCGTTCCAAACAGTAACAGCTAAGTTTTTGTGAAGTATGCAGAAGCACAGACTTTTATCATCAACTTTAGAACAAAGTATCATGTCAAAAAATGTTTTTTCCACCGCAAAGTGTTGAAGCACAACATACTTCTTTAGTTTAGCTAGCTAAATAAATAACTCCTCTAATTAATACTGTAAAACAGAGAACTCTTGAAATAATAATAAAAAAAAATTAACACAGATGCATGGCATGTTCTTCTCTCATAGCACTGCAATCCTACTAACAATACTATTCCTTATATTTAGGTAGTACTTATTAAATGGATGGAATTAAATATTTCTCTATCACATACACTGGATCATGGTAGACATTCTTTCTCTTTTAGCCCTGTATTTTTCCTCAGGAATAAGGACACTTAGAAAGCAACCTTCATGCTAAATTTTTCCTAAAGTCTACTCAGTATTTGAACCAGAGAAAACATTTCATTTTCTGTTATGAGTTATGTAAGAAGTAAGCAAATACTGTCAAATTACATTACAAAGCTGGTATGTTACAACAAATGTCACAGCTGCATACCTGGAATTACAGAAGGAGATCAACTTCTTCATCATTGTGAAAATGATGGCTATTAACGGTTAAGCCTTACCAAAGCTAAAAAAAATGTGCTCAGACAGCTGCTCATAAAAGAAAAGGTCTTCTGCCACAGTACACATTCAGGGCTTTAATAATGATCATGTGACTTTAAAATTATGGTTATCTAACAAAATTGCAGCTACATTATGCTGTCAAATGTACAACCTTTCTTCACTTCTTCACCCTACCATACCAAAATAAGATTATGCAATATGCATAGCAAATGGGTGTTTGTATTTCAAGTAAGAACTTAAAATCCTCTGAAAGAATTCAATCCCAAACGAAAGCCAGATTCCTCAACACAGCAGAATTCCTAATGCAAGCCTTCCTTTCAGATAAGTTAGCCAAAGCCAGAGAAAGACCTTGAACTGAACCTTCTTTTATCTGCACTTTCCCCACACACACTTCCTGTTTTTTTTAACCTTCAGATAATGAAACGCTTTAGACATTCAAAATCACAGTTGACTAGACGTGTGATAAATGGGCATTATCCTGAATATTTCAAAGGTCAGCTTCACAGAAAATAAAAGCTGCTGGACAGTTACCACACTAAGAGAGCTTTATCACTTACAGTCTGAAAGATTCAATGACAATTGTCAAATCTCTGTCCAGAAATTTCTTTGTTTATCCCTTTACCACACTGAAATGAAAAGTATAGTAATTTAACACACACTAAAGTCAAAATACAATGCTGAATAAAAATGGGGGAAAAAACTATTAGAAAAATACACACAAAGTTTCTAGTCATACTAAGAATAATAATGAAAAGTATCTAATGATGATTTATATTTAGGCCCCCTTAGAGCAAAACCTTACTCACACTGTCATGCTTACCACACACAACTAATTCACAGTGTCTCTATGGCTAATGTCAAAAGGCACTGTCCCAGTCAGTAGAGAAATAGCCACAATGAGAATAAAATCTAATGGAATATAACACTGACTATGCTCTCCAAATACACAAATTCACTTAACAAACAATATACAAATCAAAACAAAAACAGATTTACTACCACTTTCTGTATCTATCTTTTCATGTGCAACACTTTGTTTACATGCCTTACATCAATCAGCCTTTATTCTGCTTCTGTGAAGTTTTCAGCCAGCAAATCTTTCTGTTCTACATCAACAAACCATAGTGAATTAACTTCTTAAAAAACACACAATCTTTCAATATTACCATTAAAAATGCTTGTTAGAACTTTTAATATCGTCTCCTTAGAAGTGGTTGGCTGGAGATTTGATTTCAAACAGGCTTGTTTTAAAGGTAACTTCAAAATCTTCCCACATTCAGACAGCATATTACATTGATAATCTGACCAAATTCTGCTAGGTTGTACTGAATTACATAGAGGTTCTTTTATTTTTTTTATTGCACACAAGCAAAAATGCAGAGTATGTACAAGACTTTTTTCAGAATATTCCATACACATATGTTTTATCATTAAAATAAAAATGCACAGTTACAAAATGGGACAGCATTAGCTCTGCTCTTAATTCAACTTTACATTTATTACAAAAGCACTGTAAAGATAAAGACATGTGACAAATTCCAAACTATGCAAAGATTTTATTACTCTCTTTCTATAACACTAGTATTTAAACAACAGCAAAAAAATTAACATTTTCTAGGCTATGTTGAGGACCGTATTCTAATATGAATCTTCAATGCCTTTAAAAACAAAACACATATATTCTTAAACCTACAAGTTCATATTGTGGACACACACAAAAGTCAGG